AAGTAGGTTCTCCATCTCTCGGTGATGTCCTCTGGTTTTCTTAGCACTCTACCAAGTTTGTCTTTGATATGGAGGAAGTGTTCCATATCTTTTGTGGATTCCGCTCTTCTTTTCGCTATCCGGTATATCTCACGTTCTCCCTCGCGAGACTCTAGGTGGTCGTAGAGCTCTTTCAAGTACACCTGTTTTGCATTCCTTACGGAAGCCTTCGCAGCGTGCTTGGCTTGTTGGTACTTCTGACGATCGTCCTCCAATTTCGTCTTATGCCATCGCTTGTACGCATTCCTCTTCTCCTTTATGACTTTTTGCACTTCGTCATTCCACCACCACGTTTCTCGATTGATCCTTCTTTTTCCTGGCTTCGTACTTCCTAGGATCATGTGTGCCACTTCGTGGACTTGATCTTTCAAGCTTTTCCAGGATTGATCTGGGTTATCTTGCAAGCGTGGTAGAGTTGTTTGCAGCGTTTGTTTCGCCGCGTTGTCTTTCGTTTCTTTTCGTCTTTCAATCTCCACCATTTGATGCGTGTCCTGGTCTCTGTGGCTCTCCTGGTGTGCCTATTTATTGGGATTCTAATGTCGAGAAGCAGTGGTCTGTGCTGAGGTATGCAGCTCTCACCTGGAATGACTTTGCAGTCCTTTACGTTTTTGAGGTCACGTTGCTGGATAGCCCAGAAGTCTATCTGTGTTCGTCGATCGCCACTCGCATATGTTATGAGGTGATCATCCTTCTTGATGTAGTATGTGTTCGCCAGCACCAGATCATGAGCTGAGGCGAATTCCAGAATGCGCTCACCTTCTTCGTTGCATGTTCCGTATCCGTGGCCTCCGTGACATTTTCCGGCTTCTCCTCGCCTTTTTCCCACATCTCCGTTGAGATCCGCTCCTAGCAGGAGTGTCTCATCCAGTGGAATTGAACTGATGTGGTCATCTAACTCTTGCCAGAACGCGTCTTTTTCGTCATCCTTACATCCGAATTGTGGAGCATAGGCGGTGATTACTCGTAGGACCTGTTTCCCAGTGTCTATCTTGATGCTCATCAGACGATCGCTTAGGCGCTCAACGTCAACTATATTGCTCCGTAGAGTCTCCGAGACAGCTATACCAACCCCGTTTCTGGTGCAGGTGGCACCGTTGTACAGGAGCTTATATCCATCCCCGATGTCGCGTGACTTTGCCCCGCTCCACTTTGTTTCCTGTGTGCAGGCTACATCGACTCGCCGTCTCTTCAGAAGATCTGCTAACTCACGAGAACGAGAGGTGAGTGTACCCATATTGATGGTAGCTAGACGGAGAGTCTGCGATGCCTTGGTTCGTTGCCTCTGGTGAACTAGCCGCTTTAGCCGTCCCCGTTCACCTTGCTGAGACGGTAACCCTCGCCCACCATTCGCATTCGTCGGGCCCGAATGCGCGTCGCTTCCGGGGGACGCCCTAGCCTTTACTCGGGATACTTTATGAGACATGTCTGCATTTGTGATGCGACGGGGTGTTTCTCAGCCGGCTTGTCGCATGCCCTTTTTTGGAAGGGCAGCCTGACGCTGGAATTGTGAGCAGAGTTTTGCCGCAGAAATTAGGCTCAGGGTGGTATCGAACCCGTGACCTTCAGCACGGCAATGTTACGTAGAGCACTAACCACTAGACTAACTCTGCTTCGCGCGAACACAGCTCTAAATAAACATAATTACTAAAGCTCTTCATGGGCAATGTGTGCTGCGCTATTCCATTGCGAGTCCACGTCCTCACAAAAAATTATCTTATGATATAGAGCTAACTCACGTAAGTACAATGTATCAATAATAAATGCACACTTGCAAGATGAGATCATGAAATCGAATGGGGTGGTAGTGATTTGGTCGAAACCGTCATCTCAATCAAGTAACAACACCATGTGACTTTCGCAGCTTCCCATAGTACCCTTTTAGTGCCACCAGCAGTGAATCAATGCGAATGCTGTTATCCTGACCCCTTCTCGGGGGGTGGGCCCTCCCCTCGGCCCTCCCCCCTCGGTCCGCCACTGGTAGGTAGCTATTCGTGGTCGCCTTTGACCGACTTTTATCGATGTTTTGCTCGTTTCTGTCTCATTTTTTTGTATCTTGCTCCCTCTTGTGACGAAAAAGGTTCTGAGAAAAAGTTTCACTTAGAGCGAAGTATAAGAATGAGCGCTTTCGTACAGTGTATGACTAGAAAACTGTGTTTTCACTTGCGCGCCCTTTTGCTCCCACATATTTTTTGTCTAGTAATCTTTTCGTATTTTAGAAATTCACTCGCCCCGCCGCTATAGCGAGCTATTCTATAACGGAACTGATGCAGTCGTCATAACAGATAATTTAGCGATGGCCGACCTGCGAGAACTTGGCATGTTAACTGTTAACTTGGCATGTAATTATGTTCTGCAGATCGGGTGTAAGGGCGTAACTCAATGTTTCTTGTAGATAAGGGGCTTTCATGGGCATCATTAGTAGGGCAGTTTTTCCAGTTATGTACCAACTTGGCTTAGCTCAAAAGCCTTTCGAAATAAGGGCAAATGATTAGCAAACATTGGAATATATCAAGCTTTCTCAGCATCTGTCAATATCTCTACAGTAAGACATCTTGCAAAACATGTTTTCTTGGTAAATAAATCGGACAACCTATGAAGTCATCTGAGGAAGTCAAGCCCTGGTTCTGGGCTTGCAGTCGCATTTCTTTTCAAAAAATTATACTATTGCTCGCTCGTTCGGTTATCGTTCCCGATTTCTTGTTTTTGGTAAACTTCAACTTCGGAGCAATGTACAAGAATGGAGCAGATTCGATCGATGAAAGCAAAATAGAGTCGTTCTCAAACCTACTTATGTTAGGATTTTTTTCAACATAAGAGGAAGTGGGTACAAGAATGAGTCATGAATGAGCAAGATCTACAATGGAAATCGTTGAAAGGTCAAAAAGTGCCGTTTCTCGTCGCCCACGTAGCCTTGATCAGCAGGTCGGACAACCTATGTAAAGTCATCTGAGGAAGTCAAGCCATGCGAATTTTTCTCGTTCCTAGCTCTTGAGCTCGAGAAGAAGTTAAAGCGGGAAAGGGTGGGGTGGACGGAGGTGAATGAGCTATAAATTATTGGTAGCTCATCTATTACCTTATTTTCACGAGTAAAAACCCCATTTTTATCTAATTTTTCGACAGAAGGACCCTACCTTGCTGCGCATTACCTAAGACGAACGGCGGAGTATTGAACGGCAAAGAACTGCAAAACGAATGAAGTGCCCGCATTGAAAAGCGCAGAAGATGTACTTCGTACTCATTAAATCACGGTTGGTATGTATTTCGTGTTTTTCTTTTGTAATTTGTAGTAACGCGCCATTGTGGAACGGCCATCCACAGCTGCGGAAGTCCTTTTAGGAGATGGTGCATGACATCTCCGAGCAGTAGGCAAAAAGGCGCAGATCATCGGGCCGCAGCGCAAATGATACAAGCATTCATGTGGTGGTTTTCTCAATCGTATGGTAAAACTTGCATACTTCGAGAACAACAAGATGTTCTTTAGTAAGTTGTACTACCTACTGAGTTGCTTTGATGTCGAATAGGAAACCTATTTTTGAGTAATTCTTTTTTTAATCAGCAAATAATGAATTTTTGCTCGAAAACCGGGACAAAAATCATAGAGGTTTTCCTCTGGTTTTTGTTCTCTAGCTTATCCTCATCTGCTGTATGGGTTGTCCTAAGCTCCATAAATTCAATTTAAAAAAGGATCGCATTTTGATGGCACACAAAATCGAAAGCTAACTAGAAAGAAACAAAAAGTATGCGTCTCAAGTCAAATATTTTGAGAATTAATGGACATGCGGTCATTTGCTAATCGAGGCACAATTCAGTGTCCGTTTCAATTGCTCATGAAGTTGTTTTGCTTAGAGAAGCGTTCCAGCTTCAGAGGTTCCTTTTTCAAATAATAGATGATTTGGAGGAGAACTGGCTTTTAATGCTTTATGCGTGAAATGAATGGATTCGAACGAACGCACGGAGTCAAGGTCTGTTGCACTGGTAAAGCAGATTGATCTTCTCGTAGTCGCGATTTGAGGGCTCCGTTGCCGCAATTTGATCCTAAAACAATCTGCATTTATGTAATGTCAGTAACGAAAAGCGAGTGTGAACATTACCTGATAAGCAGAATCAAGAGTTTCAATGGTAATCATGCCTGGTTTTGCGTAAGCATTCTTTGCGTCGTGCATAATAGACAAGTAGTCGTAAGGAACGCTGGTGTACTTTTGTGTTGGTGTCAGCCGCGCCCCTTTTTCTCAGTCCCGCATCACGCGAGTCCGGTACTAAAGGGGCCTCGGCTGAACTGTCCGGCTCCGACTCCACTCAGGGGAATCCACAAAACACTTTGATTTAAATTATTTTACTACTCAAAAATTACAAGACAAAATATGCTACTTCTAAACTCTGGAAGAAGAGGTCCTTAAGGGGCCTCAGAGAGAGAATTACAAAGAAAAGAAAATGGAAAATCTAAAGCATAGATCCGCCGTCCGATCCGCTCATGGCCAAACGGCCGGGTTATTTATACAGGCAAAAACAATAGCAAGCCCTCAGCCGAACAATACAGAAACAATACAACATTATCCTCAGAGGCACATCATTAGACAAATTAAAATCCAAATTTGGCGATCAAGCTCGATGATTTACTTTCCGAGCACTTCGGCAGTTGCATTTGCAGAGTATCACAAAGCAAAAATCCAGTTTCCATTGCATCCATATCTGCCGCATACGTTCTGCCATTCTTCTTCCATGTATTGATGTGCTGATCTTATTTTGGATCTCTCTCTGCTAGGAAGAAGCGCAGATTTGGATCTGCATAGAATTATCTAAAAATGAGCTCAATCAAATTGAAGGAACAACCTGCCATATTTTCGAAATGCACGTTGATGTATTTGTCTCTATCCACTCGCTGATTCTCGCGACTCAGCCCCAAACTATGTAGTAGGTTTACCATTATGGTTTTCGCATCCATGCAGCTGAAAGATTATGAGTTTAAAAAGTTGTAAAAATACAACTCACGCAACGTGAAAAGCTTGCGCTCACTTTACATTATTGTTCGATTCAAGATATATCCTATTCTCCCCAATTCTTCCTACATTTGCACCGCATCTAAAATAGAGAGCGCATAATAAATATACCTTTGATCAAGAGAGAAAACATAGATAATCATGAGGCAAGATTTGTCACACTCTCTATTTACATATTAAGATCCTCAGATGTGCCAAATGATGTTTCACTTGAGAATACTCTTGAATGAAAAGTTACGTACGACCCGTCTTCTTTGTTGATTATCTCGACAAATTCGTCTTCGTTCGTGCGAAGTCTGAATTCGACACAAGTGTTGCCAGCAATCTTCTGCATAGCCGCCGTGATCATCGAGCGCTCTTCAGAACCTTGAATAGCGATATTTTTGCGATGGTTTGCTCAAATCCGTAGTGTTGTGAGCCAACACAGTTAATAAAAGGGTTTAAAGGCTTAGGTTTTCACAGTGATTCAAAAATAGCAATTTCAAGTTACTATAGGTGCCGGTGAACTTGTATGGAACGATGTAGTTGCCATTCTCCGGATATTGGTTCCACAGCTCCTGCGACATGCTAGATGCCGCGAAGACGAAAAGCACGAGAACTACTTTCATTCTAAAACGGAAAGTTTATAAGATGATCAAAAGGTTCTACAGATTGATGAGAACATTTTCGAACAACAACAACACAACGAACATCTCGATAGATTTGCTATTTCACGGAGTCTGCTGCGAATACACGAGTGAAAGCTTGCAAGGGTTTTCTCGCGTGCATGTTTCTGATTAAGCAAGTGAGGACTCTAGAATCAACAGGGGGCCGAATTTTCATCTCCTCAACCATCTCGTTCTTTTGTGATCAAACCAAATTACAAACATCCTGTTCATGTATAGGGGATTCGAAGGATCGTGACGATGGCGCGACAGCGCGCGACACGCATGCATAACCGGCAACCGCTACTTTCTTGATTTTCATCTCTGCACGAATGGTTTTTCTGCTTACAGATAGCATTTAGACACTGGAAGTAACTGAACTGTGAGTTGAAGTGATGCCTTTTTGTATGTTTGTGCTCCACTGGACGCAAAGACCGCAGTCAAATCCCTCGTCACGATTTTATAAATGACCTATGGGTAAGTATGTGTGTATGTTTCTATACTATTAAAGGCGCATGTAGTGTGTTTGTGGAAGGTGGAGACCTGGATTAGGGCAAGAACTTGTGCTTTTGAAATGATGTCCAGATTATCGACTATAAAGCAAGAATTCAAGTATTCCCGCGGGTGACTAGGATTCAAGAGGCCTAATGTCTACCTCACCTTGAAAGCTATCCAGTAATCTTCTAATTTTCAAACGCGTAATGACAACGGCTTCGCTAACAATTGCAAATCTTTAATCTTCCCAATTTGGCTGATTTCGCTACCGCTTTGACGACTAGGGGAACCCCTTTGAGGCGAGAAAAAGAAGCATCGTGGAGCTTTTTGCTTGAACCCGTGCATATATGTGAGTCGCTGTGAGCTAAGTTCAATCATGGTTTCTCCTTTTTGGTACAAATCTGTGGAAAACGTGCCCAATTAATGAAGTGCTTGGATGGCTCGACAAGGCGACGACGGAAGCCATACACCGCCTGGTGCCGCAAGAATCTATGGATTCTTTTTGTATTTTAAGAGAGGTAAATACATGAAATAGAAGGCTGGAAACTGACGTCCGCTTTAGATTTTCAGCTGCTTTTATTTCAGACAATCCGTGCTATATGACAAAACTGAAGATGGAAAAATCAACAAAAAGTATCACCCTAGAAATCAAAGAATGACACATATCATGATATCATACCAAAATCATACACGGAGTCTGCCCTTACAGTGTTTGTTCGATGTTTGTTTATCATTACGAGTAGGCATTCTATAAAACATGTAAACGAATGTAATCTATCTTGATAATACACATAGATTGTAGCGACAAATGGGCTTCACTACGAGAAACCTCGAAATTTTTTCAATGAAGTTCTCTTTGATTTTGCAGTCATAGAAGCACTGCAAAATTTTCTCTTAATTGCTTCTGACCGAACAGACCATCAAGATTTCTATATACCAACAATAAGACATCTGATAGAGCATAATATTATTCGAGCATGCTTCAATGAAAGCATGTTTTGATGTGCTTTCAAAGGCCTATTCCGGATCAAATTATTGAATTACCTTTGATGGTATCGAAAAATGATCGCGTAAGCGGAATCGTTCTCAATACCAGTCCTAAGCTAAAAATAAGACGACTAACAGGAAATCATTCAATCGAACTAGCCTTTCTAAGCGGCATAGAGCAATGGCTGCCTTGAGAAGCTAATTACGAAAATATCTTAAAGTTTTGCTAGCAAATTACTGGGCGAGTTTGCAAGCGTACGTTTGAGCGCAGGTGGTCGCAGATTCACTAATTTGCTGCATGACATTAAAAAAGTAGTTTCTGAAAACTGTCTTCTTTTTCTTAGGATCTGCGAGTACTTTCAAGGGTGTAAGTACATAAGGAGCATTACGCATTTATTGCGAATCCACGTTATCCGGATGACAACTGACACTGCAGCCCAGAAGCAAGAAAACGCCTCTAACTTCGTTTATTCAACCGTTCAGCAGATATGGAAGGAGTTGTCTTGTAATCAGCGTTAAAGCTTTTTTTATTTGGATACACCACTTTTGAGGGCGTTTTCGCATACACGCATTCCATCTTATGACAATCGAGACATTCACTTCAAGTTGACACCAAGGTAGGACGTTCTTGTCGTTTGCAGTCAGATTCATTGAAAGTTCTTTTTCAGGGAGGGCTTGGAAACTTCGTAGCTGCTATCGTACAACAACCATCCACCTGTTAATAATAAGGTAAGCTACTACACTTAGTTCGGCTTTTTGCAAGGGACATACATATTTTGAATCAGCCCAAAACACTGATTCCAAATAGGCGACTCCTAGATGTGGCGCAACATTTCGAAGAGAGTTATGGACTTTTTAATGCGCGGAATTGGCATACTACTGAACATGGAGTAATTGTCTGTGGTAAAATTCTGCAAGAAAGGGGTGCTAATATATCAGAATAGCATCAAATCTAATCTTTACTCAGTGAAAAGAAGCTTAACGCATGTTTGTCAACACTTAGATGATGATGTCATGATGCCAGTAAGTCAACGACTAAGCAAATTTTGCACAAAAAAGTCAATAGCTTGCTCTAGAGATGAGCCGAGCTAGGAATAGAATATTCGGATCAGCGTTTGAAGCTGATTCAAATATATAATCTCTTTTCAAAAGGCCGAGCCAAGGTAGGTAGCTTCCCTTTTGAGAATGATTTTAGTCAACTGATAATTTCCCCTTCAAAATGCAATACTTAGAGGCACCGTCCACTCAGATTCTCGGCTTCCAGCTTTTGTCGTTTCAGGGCTTTCTCATGTCCTTGATTCCAAATATGAAGTCGAGAATCCACGGACCTCAATAATCCCCGTTCCAGAGACTACAGGTCGGCTTCTCGGAACGGCGATTGCCTGGGCGCGCACGAATGGGGAAGTTTGTGCCGTCCGGGGGTCCTCGTGCATCTTCGTTATTTCGAAGCGATTTTTTCGCTTACGAAGCGACAAATTGCGCCGCGACTTGGGATTAGCTTGATAGGGGCCTATTATCATACGCTGCCAAAAGCTCAAGACCCTCAACTTAGGGTGAACAGTACCTTCAAGGCGCCCCATGATAACAAGCAGTCTTTTGGCGTGTTCACTTTTAGAGCTCGCATGGTGCGACTTACACACCTGAAAGTAGGGTGGTGGTTACAGTGCGTCGCCTTGCCTCATGTGACACACGACACCGTTGCTGTCAACAATGACAATGTTTGGTACTCGGCTCATTCGACTAGCATGTACAGATGATTTCTTTCGGTTAGCTATGCTTGCCGTTCTGAATGTGTCGGAAGCGTTAGATACAAAGCCGGGGACGCTGGCAGAGTCCGGGACCGTGTGATGTGCGCGCATTTCGCATTTATGGATCAAGCAAGTGAAGCGCGCAGCTCAGTTTTGATCGGAAACCCAAAAATTCACAATATAGTAATTATATTGGTTGAAGGAAATGCTAAATTATTGAGTAAGCTGATACACTACAAGAATGTTAGCAGTTTCTTTGATCTTCCCACTTTCGTTCCTTCTTTTACAACTTCCGGGAGGACACTCCTAATGGAGCTGCCAGGTAGGATGGGGCCAGGTAGGGCGGTCCTAGCCCAACACAGCCCGATGGGAGCGTCCGCCGCAAGAATTTTGAAAGTTCAGTTTCCCCGAACATCATTTGCGATTATCTGAAACAGACACTCATACTTTTTTATAGAATAGAACTGAGGGCGGTAGCTAATAAGACTTACTGAAGTCTGCCTTCGAAAAGAAAGTCGGAACGAACAAATGGAAACAGATTAGTACCACATTCTTCTAATACTTCTGCTCCCTCAGCCTCTTCTTTTTGAAAGTGCGTCAGTGATAAAACGACCCCCACTCTGTAGTCCAGCAGCGAGATAAGTGAGACCAAGTACTAGGAAAAATTCTATTGAGTAGATGTTGCACTGAAACCTGCTAGAACTACGACAATATGAGATATTCAAGGGGATGTCGGTAGTAAATATGCATGAGGCACAGAAGGATCGCACTAATGGTAGAGGCCTGAGAAACAGATGTTGAAATTGGCTGTAACGGGAGAACGGGAGACCTGGAGTTGAGTTACTGTCAGCATCAGGGTGTCTCTAATTTTTACCGTTTTCAACCTAGGCATCAACATTTCTCGAGAACTGAGGACCTACTACGATGGGTACAAATAAATGAATGTACTTCTGTATGTATGGGCTTATGACCACGTGCGTGGGAGGAGCTCAGGGCATCTAGGGGCGGAGTTTGCCATTTTACTTGATTTATTTTCTGTTTATTTCTAATCATGAAAAAAATCGGAAATTGTACATTTGGATGTGCAATGTCAAGCATATGCTTGGATAGACCGGGAATCTTTTAGAATTTTTGGGGCGGAGCTACGTTTTTGTGAAGTTCGTTTAAGACTGCTATCAGATTTCAGCTCCAAACTTCATGTGAGATACGATTTGAGCAGGCTTCTGACAGCCATCTTGGAGCTTGCTTTTCCCTATCAAGCGATTACCCAAGACAATCCAGTTGAAGGATAGGTACAAAAAAACGGCGGTTATAGTAAAAACGGGGAAAAATTATGAAACACCCCAATACGATTTTGTTTACCAGCTGCACGACAGAAGCAGACTAGCGAAGAGTGTTCATAGACTGAACTTCGCACCAGCATTCATTAACAGAAATGTAGATACTATGGCGGTCCAAATTTCATCGCAACGAACGGTATTGACCGTAGAATTTCTGCCGAGTATTCATTTATTTCATGTAAATCCAACTGCTTTGTGGACGTGCACACGAGGACGACAGCACTGTGTACCCTTTCAGGTGATTTGCAAGCGAGCGAGCAGTAGAAGGGAGAGTGGGAGAAGGGGGGGGGGAGTGGAGAAAGGGAGAGAGGTTATCATGTGCAACGCTGCAGAAGTTGGCTGTCTTGGTCTCACGAGAGTACCGCAATCCCGATGTTGAACAGTCACCGACACTCGTGCCAAGCCGATTTACAGTATGCTCTCGGAAACTGTGTGCACCAGATTACAAATTATCTGATGTAATAGAAACTACAAGCTATGAATTGACCATGGTCACTACTAAACTATAGTCATCTTCCATGAATACAGCCAAGAAACCAATGGAGATGGAAGATACAACCGAAATCCTAGTTTATCAGGCATGAACTGTGGTATGCCGTAGATTACAATTTGAAGTTGTACGTCTACTTGAAATCTCACGGATGTTCGTTACTGCAGGATGAGAAATGCAGTATGGATGTAACGAAAACATTTAGATATGTTAAATGTCAATTGGTAAGAAACCTGCATGCTCATTTCAACCTATCAACTGCCGACATCTTGGAACTCACGCACTTCATCTGTTTTGTCGGATGCAAAACCAAAGCATGCTGACGGCAACAACGGCTATCATTGTTTGAATCAAAATGTGGAGTTTGTAATGCAAATACACAAATCACGTCGTTTCTTATGAATTTACACTCGGTATAGGATAATTTCAAGGGTGTAGACCAAGATTTGGCATCTAAAAGTTTTTTGTAACTATTCTAGATTCAAAACCAGCTTTATTGTTTGTTTCACCCTAGCGTCAGCAAAATTATCAGGGCTTTCGAGATACGCTGACTACTGCATACCGTTGACGCTAAGTAAGGTGATGGAAGCATTTGTAAGCACATGTACAAACACATGCCAGGCGGAAAAGGAAAAAGCAGTCAACAAAAGCGCGATTGGTCCCGTAACGAAAAGCGAGTTGTTGACGTCGCGATCTGTGTGTGGCAAGCCGATTGATTTACATACTGCATCAGTAGGTGAAGATGTGATGCTTCAACGTCGGTAATTGTGCGGATAGAAAATGTGCGGAGTGGTTTCCGAAGAACTTTTCAGAAGCGTGTCTACTCATTTTTATATTTAGGAACAAAGAGAAATGTCTAATGCTTCCAGCCCTTTTACTTCGTGATTTCAAATCAAGCTTGATGAATGTCTTACGCGTTGTGCGAAACTTGAAAATGGCTCAAGCTAACAACAAATTAGTCGTAGTTTGCCATTTTGAGTGAGACTGAAGATACGATTGTCATCTTTCGTCGTCTGTCACGAACACATTCCGGGTAAGGGCTGTACGAGGGTCAAAAAAAAAAAGAAAAACGAAGAGCGTTTTGACAAGTTACCTGTTGAATCCCAACAAATGCTTGACTTGCTTTCGCTAGAAGATGAAATATTATGAGTGTATTTGAGGCTTTGAAGTTTAGCAATGACGTGCCAAGATTTAGAGAAACTTTGACCTACGCTGCGTCCTAAAAGGTTTCCCAAACAATCTGCAACACCTCAAGGATTTTTGGTCAAGCAATAAAGAGTATCCATCGTGTGTGGTTTGAGCTCTCAAAATGGTAAACAATTTCACGTGAGGGAGTTTGCGATCCTTGGGTGGTGTCTGGGATATTACCGACTGTTTGGACCATTTGATGAATGACGACTGGAGAAATACAAAAGATGATTTTGTTTACTTGCAAAAATACTGTCTGCAACTGGTCAGACTTATCATTTGGTTTCCTATTATTTCCTCCATCCACACCCTAGATTCGTGCTTGCGAAGAATCGACTAACTAAATGTGTTCGCACTTTTACCGTTAATTCTTCTATAATTTGGTGACATATGATAACAATGAATTGACTGGAAATCGTCATCACTGCTTCCGGATTGCGAAGGCAGATAATATCTAACCAACCATTAGGCCCTATGTCAACTTTGTGAATTTGTCTTATTTTCTTTTGATTCCACCGCGACTTCACTCTACTCTTCATCCGACTCGCTGTAAGAACACACTGACCGACATCAACAAATGCATTTATTGCTGCGAAAAAAAAACCCCGAAGACACAAGTTACAGCGATGAAATACATGATTTGCATGAACAAGGACGATTCCTGCGAATCGCTAGGGCGTCACCAGGCGTGAGACCCCTCAAGAAATCAAATGGGACGCTCGCTAGGAGCGCACGGGTAATCAGGCCCTCGATGCGCTGGACAAGGTCTTCGAGTCCATAGAACTGAAAGGAAATGAATAAAATAATCGTTCTGTAAAAAAACTTTGAAGTCCAAGATGTTGAAAAAAGTCTGCATTCAAAGTTAAACAGAACCAACCTGAGCCTCGCGCTTTATATGAGCAAGGATACATTGATGTTCACCGACGCTCACGCTACCAGCTTGAAGGTAATTCAAGATGTGGGTGAAGTACATCGGATCGCGGTCTATGTAGACTTCCTCACCTTCCTGCAATTACTCATATGTCTGAATCTACCACTATCACTACATCAACATAGAACACGAACTCACTACATAATCCAGATTCGCAAGCATGTTGTTGTCGCGAGGACCCGGGTTCCTTCTCAGCGTCTCAAGCGATGTTTCGAACTTTGTTCCGCGAAGATTTAGTACAACAAGCATGTTGGAGTTGGCAGAAAAAGGAAGCAGCTATAGTCGAAGCGAATGTTCAGCACAAAATAAGCAGATGGGTGCCTTACGAAGTTGGGTTGACACCGCGGTGTCAGATGGGGGCGTGGCCCTGGGGGTACCGTATCCGCTCTGCGACCCAGTCGTCTGCCGCATTGTTATCGATCATGGGCACGACACCGGCTGACATCCGACGTGCATGGAAATCATGTAGGAGGAAGTGGATGCACGTACGCAAATCACTACTGCCTTTTGGATAAATTGGTAGTGTCTGATTCGAAAGTATGAGATTTCCATGATGAAGAGAGATCAAAATTGGAAGGTAAATTACACGGGTGCGCCAGTGTGAGTCTTGTGGATGTGAAAGGCATTTAACTTAGAGCAACGTCTACAACAAGTTTGAAATTTTGTTAAGGTAGGAATGTTTTTCAAACAAACTAGCTAGATAAAACTTAGATTGAGTTTTAGAAGTTTAAGGCCCGTAGTAAACCTCGATCATCGGAGGTGACCTCCCCTGAACCCCAGATGTGAGGTTCCGTCAGGTGAAATGACGACCGTACACTTCCCCATGCTTTAAGAATGCAACGTCACCTGACATGTAAGCCTCCGGTTAGGTTCGGCAGGGAGGTGACCTCCCTGCCGAGTCATCGGAGGTGAGCCGAGCGATGATGTCCAGAAATACTGTGCTAAAGAGGAGATTTAGAGAAAGTTTCCGTAAGTTACTCCTGAGTAACTTACAATACACCTCTCTTCTCCTAATAATGCAGACAGATTCAACGTAAAAATGCACACATTCTCGCTGTTGTGGATTAGCTCAACGAAACTGGATATTTTCAAATGTTTCTTGCTGTTGCATTGGTATTTTGCATTTCTGTGCACAGTAATATGGACAGTACGATCCAAAAAAGGCTCACTTGGTGGCCGGACTTTTTCTCCGTCCTGTTTATAAACATCTTGATCGTTTCTTAGGAGTGATTTTGAGTGAACTCAATATTATGCCTTGAAATGTTTTCAGATACCGATAGTGTTATGCAGAAACACAGCTCTGTGTTCAATATTTTGCTGATGGGATCTTTCTGCCATCACTGAGATTACAGTTTTCACCTAAATTTTGAGCGTCGTAAAATTCATAGCCTGTCACTTCCATTTTTTTGCTAAATATCATCTCCGCTCAGTCCATTTTCTTTCTTTTTTCTGCATACTCGAGCATTTTTTTGATTCCATCATGATGTGTTTGCAGATGACAGGCCAGTTAATCTAAACGTTCATTAAAATTGTATTTTCTCTTTTGTCGAGCTGTTTACGTGCTGTGTTGTATCACAAACGAAGTTTCTGAACACTTATTAGAAGTTGCTGCGATTTTAATTTTCTTGGAATTTTGTTTTCAATGCAGCTGAGTTTTTTCAGAATGGTCATGCCCATCTTTTGACCTCGTAGAGGGTATTAAACCTCCATTTTTGGAGTCTGGAAGTCGGAGCCTCAGAATGATGAGCTTGTTGTTATGGCACTCAAGAGTCTTAGCAGTTTGGAGGTCGGTCAGTGATTTGGATGTTGCTTTTCCATACGCTTACTGCCAAATTCATTTTGACAGAATTATCTTTTAGGATGAGGATCATGAAGATGATGATATCCTCAGTGTAGTTTTAAAGACGCAGAGGAGAAAAAACGCTTTCAAATATTTCATCACTTCAAGCTCACCAGCTTCAAGAGTTCAAAACGTAAGTCGTTCTGGTTTCTGCCCATATCATATGGGATGGGTTCGGTTTCTTCATAGCTTCCTTTTCAGTTGATTGCTACCTTATATCACGACTCAGCTCACGACTTTGACTTTCTTATCGAACGTCACAAAGACGTCATCACAACAGACATCTTCACAAAAGGACTCATAGACATTCTGAAGCAAGGTAGAATGAATGGTTTTGTGAAGGTCACTATATCAGTGTGTTCAGCCCTTGCACAGAGAAAAACGCTTGCAATCCAGAGATCAGATTACATGTGTCACAAAGACCTTTTCTCGTGCGAGTACACCTTGAAGCAGGTAAGCTATTTTTCATGCTTTTCTTGCATGGTAAAGGTAGCTGACATCTTAGATAGAAGTAAACAACATAGCGCTAGCATGGAAGCTCATGCTGAAAGGGTTAGTTTCTCCTTACGTAGCGATATTTTCTACTCATAAACACCGTACAGGTTTCCAAGCTTCATCGAAGAGCTATATTTGAACTTGGTTACGACAAAGAAACAATTGAAAAGGCTGTTCCAAGGAACGAGCCTGTGAAACTCATATCTGTAGCTATTTACAAAGCGTGGTAGGTCAGAATTTCAACTTTTCACTTTACAATCTCTTCAACTTGTAATCTCATGTTTAGGAAACTCTATTCATGTCGCGATTCTCTAGTACTTGTCGTGGTTGAGGAAGAGAATCAAAACCAAATCGATCAGAGGCATGTGGAGTATGGACTGGAAAACCTAGGAATTCCCGTGGACCAAATTGAACGGAAGACTCTGGCAGAGTGCAGCTATTGGTAAGTGCTCAGTCATCTTTCGTTTTTTACTCCGTCTAAAAGTCCTATCTTAATTTATTTTCATTGTTTTATTGTTGAATACCATACGTTTCATGCACTTAGTTCCTTTTATTTCCAAACCAATGGGCATACTACATCGTGCGGAATCACGTGGTAAATGAGCGAGCATAAGTTCTAGCAATTGTTTTCGGCGCTTTGTGGACCATTTGTAAGATCGTGACGACGGATTTGACTGCGCTCTTTGCGCCCAGAGCAGCATAAAACACTCATACAAAAAGGGATTACATCAATGCTCAGCTCAATACTTCCATTGTTTGAATAATATCATAGGTAAGCAAAAAAAAGCAATTGAATAGGGATGAAAACCAAGAAAATGCGGTTGCCGGAAGTTGCGGTCGCACCAGCGTCACGATTTTTTGAATGCCCTGTACTTCATTTGACTGAAACCAAGATAGTGAATTCGTTATTCTGCACACCACAAAGGTTGCATGATCGCACTGTTGCGCCATCTTTTAGATCAGACGAGTACAGTGTAGGTTTTTGAATTTGAAAAAGGGTTTTTGAAATTTAGAACTGTTGTTCCTGGCGTTCGTGGCAATGTATTCTTGACTTGTAGTCGTGCAACTCAAAACCATATTCATCACCCTCTCCGATGCTGGACTCTAAAAGCGCTACACATGCGATTCTCAGTAAGTTGGCATTTCAGGCGCTTCTTGCATCTTTTAAACTGTCATCTTGCTCTCAGAATCCTTTCCTGATAAGTTTGTTGGAACGTGTTGATCATGTCCAAAGTCTGAACAAGATTCAAACATCTCACACGTGGCATTTTCGAGTGCCAGGTATATCATTTTCAAGTATTTCTTCACAGTACTTTGTTGTCTTCTTTAATTGTCATTTGTTGAAAGCCCGGGCATACTTCACGCGATTTCCGTCGCGATCCGATTTCGCAGCACTTCATTTAACTAAAACTTGTCGTGGGCATTCTGTGTGTTCATGAATTGAAGAATTTGATCAGTGAAAAGGAATTGAAAAGATTGGTCACTCGTGTAAATTGACCTTATATGCAGTCCGCACGTATTAGAATTGAAAACATTTGGCTATTGGCAGATCTCGTGCAAATCACGCACTGAAATCGCGTGAAGTATGCTCTGGACTAAATCAAGCAAATTAAGGTTAATGATTTCAGTTTTCATTGCTGATTTTGTCACTCTTATTATACGCGCCTTTTGCCATGACTCCGACAGGCAAAGGTCAGTTTGCTTTTTGTGATTCAATCATTTATGCTAATCCCGTGAAGAATGTCCGTGCTTTAAGTAGTGAATCAATTACGTCACCATGTTTTCTGTGTCCTCAGCGCCCATGCTGCGCGCGATGGGATAACCGAAGGCTTGGTTCTCTGTAATTCGTGATGATGTAATTGATTCACTACTTAAAGGCCGGGCATACTTCACGGGATTTCAGTCGCGACGCGATTTGGCAATTCGCCAGAAGTCTTCAGCGGGTTGATGAAATACCCTATCTTCTGTACATTAAAAACGTGCTTACAGTGAGTTATGGACAGTTGGGATATTGCCAAATCGCGTCGCGATTGAAATCCCGTGAAGAATGTCCGTGCTTTAAGTAGTGAATCAATTACGTCACCATGAATTACAGAGAATCGATCCTTCGGTTATCCCGTGTAGCTTTTTTTGAATCGATTTATCAATTTTAAACACTGATTTGAGATTACCGTTTGAAACACTATTTCGCTATACAGTCGAGTAGATCTGACGACAAATATAGCAAAAGTAACTCAAAGTATCATATTTATGGTCTCCAACAAGAACTTCACCGAAATTTTTCGATTTTCCGTCACCTTGACTACAATCAAAACTTAGACTTTAACACTGTAACAACATTCAAATTAGTGGAAGTTAATCGTCATACACAAGCTAATACGAAACAAACTCATTTGGTCAAAGTCTTTTCTAACCTTTTTCAGAAAGCCCTTCTAAAATTCCGCATGCCGTATCTAGACACATTGTCCAATACTTCATCAAAAATTCGGACATTCTTCTCAATGACACGAACGTGCGAACGTATGCACAAAATACAAAGAGGATGACGGCTTACCGGAAATTAGTCATTGAAATAGCGGAAGAGTACGGCTTCGAAATAACTGAAAAGCAAATCCGCAACCATTTCGACCACTACAGATCCAAAGTGATATCAAAGGGAATGACTTTCAGAAGAAACATCAGCGCGGAAAAGAAGTAAGGGCTCAGCTGTGACAGCCAAATTATCTGTCATACACGATATCTTCAGATACCGAACAACGACTGGTGGCGGACTCATACCCTCAGAGGAGAGTTCTGCGAATAAAAATGATACATTTCCGTTCAACACTACCATGGAGGCAGAATTATGGAAATTCTTCGACAAAACACCAGCAACCGTCCCATTTCGCGAAGGCGAAAGCGCTGTAGGCATAGTAAGTTGTGACAGCAGACGCCGATTCTGATGAGTGTTTAGCATTTGCAGAAAAAAACTCCAGTCCAAAATGCAGAAAATGAACGTCCTGAGCCCCTAATGGTTAGACGGGATTTTTCCCTTTACTTCTCCTTAACAATTAGCCTTCATAATCTTCCTTTTAGGATGAATTCGAAACAGATAGCGACGACGAGGAAACCGGCGGATCTTATGAAAGAGGAGGCAGAGGCGGAGGAGGAGGGCGTTTAGTGCGAGGAGTCGGAGGAACTGGAGAAGGAAGATCTTTTATGCGAGGAACCGAAAGAGAAGGAGAATATGGGGATGAGGAAGAAGAAGAAGAAGAGGAAGAGGAAGAAGCAAGAGGAGGTGGTGGTGGAGGTGGAGGTCGAGGAGGGGCGGGCGGGTATGAGGCACCTGGTAGAGGCGGCGGTGGTGGTGGTGGAGGTGGATCGAACAGTAACCGAAAACGCAGGATTACAGAAAAAGAGTTGGTAGAAGAGCAGTTTCGCCTTTGCCAGGTAATCAGAATTTTAGTTTGAAAATCTTCTCAATTGCGTATAACTTCCAGGACCAAAGGAGATTCTTCAGCGAAATGATACATACTCTAAATGTAATGTGTGATTACATCGCCTCGCAAAGGAACGTGCAAGGAACATCAAACGGGCAGCACGGAGGGTTGGGTGGTGGAGGGAGGGAACCAACCGAATTTGTTGCAGATAAGAACATTGAAGAATCTGTCGTCTCTAGCCAATAATGAATAGTGAAACTGCATTCTCCATTGATATTCTTTCGTTTTTCTGCTTACATTCCAGATGGTATGTTTTGTTACCGTACAAATCTGTTGTTTTCTGAATATATACGTCATATAAACTCGATAGAAAGTAGATGATAGTTAGTCATTCAAACAGCTGAGCTCAGAGTTCGCATTTTCTTCTGCTCAGTGAATCGTTGTGTGCTGTCAGAAAGTGAACAATCATGGTTTTCTTGTTTGCTAAGAATTTGGACTACTCTTCATCATCTATCGTTCATCTAAGTTGTATTCATTGCAGTTGCAAAATCCATCAAAGCGGCAGGGTAAGAATCCGTCAATCAGCCGAGTATGGTAATGAATTCATTGGTTTGGAAGCAGAAACTTAGTCAAATTTGGGTATCTGTCTTACTAGTGTCCATGTATTTATTGTTGGTTCTATATTTTCATCTTGTCGCTTCATTTCCGTGAATCTCTCAACCATTGTATACCAAGTCTTTATTTTCCATAAAGGATTAAAGTGCCCGGAGAAGCGAAAGTTCGACGAAAAAAATCAGACAATCCGCGTTGTTGGGTTACAAAAGACATCCTGTTATATGTGGTATTACAATATGAGCTCTTGTTAGGGATAAAAGTGACATAGCTCTAAAGCCATTTGTATATACATAATAGAATGAAATTATGAGACCATCGAATTACAAACAGTGCGCTTTGTTGGATTCATTATTGTTGTCGCAAACAGACAGCTACATTTCACGCGACTGAGCGCTATCCCTAGCACTTGACGGTGCCCCGGCATCACCTTGTGAGGCTCTTTCTTCTTCTTGCATAATGCGAAGGCATGAACCTTGTCCAAATCGTGCATCCATTACGATCTTGTGGATATGCATTTTTGCAATGGCCTTCTGCAAACAGTGCACTTATTTTCACTTCAGTTGAAGCTAAACCCACAAATGAATAAATTGGAGATTCGAAGATATACAGGTTGTCTCATGAGAGTTTCGTGTATCAGCGGCTCAGTTTAGCCTGTCAGCTCGCTTGAATCTTGCGCCACGTCTGCGATCGTCTCCTCTGAGCATTTTCCCGCGCTCGTTAGCCTTCAATTGCAGCACAGGCATGGGAACATGTCCAGATGCAACGTTAGCAAACGCGGCGTAATCTCCAGCTGAGGAGGCCGCGCAGTCCAGCCGCTGATGAAAAGGCCGCTGTCAACAAGATAATCTACGAACCGTGAACATATGACAAAAGGCTCAAAGGAAGCAAACGGTCATCTGCACACCTCATCATCATTGGGGAGACTCAAATTTTGGCTGATGAATTGCTGTAACTGGAGATCAGCACCGCATTGGCTTTGCTTTATGTATCCTGGACCAAGTGAGGGTCAGTGACGCTGTGGCGAGGCCAATACACGCGTTTGTGGTCGTAGCTGGTCGCCCATCTATAATATACAAAGTTAAGCATCTAAGGTAAACCTCAACAAAAAACACTAACCGATAACGCTATGTGACGCGAACTTCTTCGCGTTACAGCTTGATGACCACTGACCATCATTGTGCTTAGCGGCGAATCTCCCAATAATGATAAATCAGAATCTAAAACAAGTATAAAAGATGCTTAATTGGGGCTGATCATTTTGAAAGTGGGTGTTGATTTCCTACCGTGTTGTTCTATAACGGAGGTAGCTGTCAATGCCATCATCAATGATGATATCATCGGCAAGCTGACCACGAGTGCCACCGCCACCGCCATCGCCAAGCCTATAATTTTCTGGGCGCCATTTGTGTAATAGGTGGTGGGATCAATTAGCCTTGTCATAGTAATTGTCATACATCTTTACTATTACTTCATCCCTGGTGGCGAAAGATTACCACATATTCAAAACTATTCAGAGCTGTAAAACATACCTAGGCCCTACCGCACAACCACTGCAAATATGCACATGGAGAGCTGATACATCAGCAAATATTGGCTAGGCAATAGACGATGGGACGGACGGTTCGTAACAATACCGTTGTGCTGCGGTAAGTATATCTAGAAATAAACAAGCAACGGTAATTAAGATGACAGGCAGAAGACTCACACTTCCAACAATGAGATCATCTTTTTCTGCAGAGAACCACTGGAGGAGTGATGCACTGTTCTCCAAACAGTTCTTCATAAAGCTCACGCAGCTAAACACAAAAATTTTTTGGGTAGACTGACATAGACATCGCAGAGAAAGAGACTAACCTTTCGACGATTCTCCTCTTTTCTCATTCTTCTCACATATAACGTATCGAAACAACTCGTCATATCACCATTCTATAAGTGGGAAGATAGAGGAAGAACATGGAATAGATCCTTGTTACCTTTTCAAAAAGGTGTATCCATATCCATCGCAGCAGATCTCTAAGGTTAAAGGAGAAAGGACCACTGTGGAGGTTTTGTTGCGATGATGATGATGATTATTATGATGTTATTTTTAGATGTTCATCTAAAAAGCCGTCAAATCCTCCCATATTTCCAGTTTGTTAAAAGTTTTGGCGCTATTTCAGTGTCCGGGCCCCAAAATTTTTTTTGCATGAATTTTGTTGAAACTAAGCCCAGAGGGGGTTATTCGGCTGTAACTGTCACAACTTGTAGCGAACAAGACTAAAATAATCTTGCTTGATAATGGATCTATGGATAATCATGAGGCATCTCCGAAACAATACAGTCAACTAGTTATGGCTACATGAGACACAGGTCACAACTTTTGTGCGCCTGCGGCATTTTGCCCGAAGAAAACCTTCATGAGGTCAGAACCGTGCAACGCGGGGAAGGGGAGACCGTAATCGTACATGCACAACTTCAACCAAATACAAACAAGTTTCTAGTACCACCCACAGATAATTTTAAAAAACAGGCTCTCTAGTTCTAACCGTTGGATTCTCATTTTCAAAATTTGTTTGTAACTCTTGTGTCCTGATCTTTTACGCAAAACAGACATTGTTACTGAAAAGAAGGACCTCGAAAACACATAAGTCCCAATTTTGGTCGTGATTGGTTCATTGTGATTACTGAACTTCACTTTGGAGTACTTTCTGAAGTCTCAGTTTCAGCATATGCCTTTTGGGTTCCGTAATACGTCGAGTCGAAAAGACGGTCAGAAATGAAGAACTTTCATTTTTCTGGTATTAGGCGCCAAATTAAATGCAAGTCCGTACTCTGCAGAAATTACGCACTTTTCATTTTTTGACGCCTAAGTCAAAAACGATGTTGGTTTGAATTATAATCCTGTATCGGCAGCTGGCGCTTCTAAAAATCAACGCGTTTCTCATGTACGTCTGGTTCTGACATTGGCGCTCAATGTGTTCAGTTTGGCTGAAGATTATTAACATTAGGAAAGCTGCAAGAGTTGCTATTTAAAGGGCATCAGGAGAAGTGTGACATAAGACATGCATGCGGCGTTGACTTTTGCTTATCTGACGCCTATCACACAAAAGTCATAAGATATGCCTTTTGTATTGATCTGTTATTAATGAGAATCTAAGATACTTACTATCGCATAAATGGTTTTCGCTATTATCACGGAAATTACTTGTGTCAGTGAAGAACTCGAACTAATGATATATTACTTGCTTGTTGGAGTAATGTTCAGTCGCTGTTAATATTGCAGAATAATGTAAAGGCAACTTCTTTTTGTAGATTTTCGACGAATCTCATGATTCGTCGAATCGCGTAAGGAAATGCAGGAGCGGCTGGAATCAGAACGGAGACGGAAAGAGGAAGAGATAGCTTCTTTGGTAGAAATGCATACTCGGAATATGAATGAAATGAGAGAGATGTAAGAAGAGCGAATATGCGCATTAAAAGTGAGTTTTCTAAATAAAGGATGTAATATTTTGCCAGTTGCTTTTTGTTTTGTTTTGCAACGTCAAGTTTCGAGATTTGTTAGCCAAATTGGTCAGACCTTGAAAGTTTTTTCATGACAATCATATGTTCTTCTCAGCGTTCATTATTGTACTAAGTAGGTGCTCGTTTGATTTGATAGAAAAACGTTTTTATAGTTGCAGTGATTAGACGGTATCAGCAACAAATTTTGTGAACAGTGACTTTCTGATCGTCGGCCCTTTTTTCTCTGCGTGCCCGCATGCGTCCGCCGTCTGTTTCTTATTTCATTGCATAAGCTCCTCGCTCTACCCACTGCGTTCTAAATTGTTTTATGTTAGTCTACGTGTCAGAAATGAGCGCTGATCTCATCAAGACCTTCTAAAGTTTGGACCACCGTGAAAAGAGTGGCATATTTTAGGGTAAAGCATCTTCATCAACCAGCAACACATCCCTGCTGGACGCAGTCTTGCTTGAGAAGGAGGAGCTGTTGGAAACTAAGAGGAGACTTGTAGAAATGGTTAGCGTTTCTGAGGTTGTTTTACTTTGAGTCCATCTTCAACTTTTTCATAATTGTGCTGCATAGGTTAAGCAACGCGAAAGCGCTTGCCCTTCAACAGCTGACGCGTCGGTCACTGCAGCAGATGATCGACTTGTCGTACTCGATTTTGTTGAGAGATCAGGTAATAGCAATGACGTATCTGACTTGGAAGAAAAGCTACGAGACGCACAGCCTATGATAGAACATCTGCAAGCGAGCACTCAGAGATGGAAGCTAAAGTCGCTGAAGCAGAAAACTTGAAGTATGTCGTCATATTTTTTTTATCTAGTTGTAGCTCCATAACTGAAGTAGAAATTTTTCAGAAAAATTTGAACGTTTGAAATTGTTTGAATTTGAAAAAAAATTTGATCGTCTAAAGACAGGATTTGCTGACGTGCGCGACCAGAAGGACTCAGATATGTCTGTAAGTGAAGCTTTTTCAACGAAGCTTTCGATTATGTATACGTTTAGAACGTCTGACAAGCCCTGATATGATATTTCTGGTCATCGATGGTTTCTATTTTAGGTAGAAGTGGAGCGGTTACGAATGGCATTAGATCAAGCGAAGCAAGATCGAAACCGAGTTCATGCTGACGTTGATAAGTTCCGCACTACCATAGAAGGTATAGGCACTGAGCTTGATGCGCTCCGTGTATCCAACCAACGCCTTTCTCAAGAAAATGAAAGAATGGCTGCGATAATAGATCGGTAGGTTTTTCTGTTGGTCATGGTATGCGTTAAGCGCAGTGTTTAGCTACAATGCCGTGCTTGAGAGCTCAGCTGCGCAGGACTTCATGAACGAGCATTCTTCAAATTCTCAGTTGTCTGACAAGCAGTCGACTGCTTTTGAAAATCTGAATAGAGATCTTCGCGAGGAGATTACTATGCTCCAGGAACGGAACAGGTAGTGAAATACGAAATGATCTTTGCTGAATCAATTTGCTAGTTCAGGTTGCTTTCGGAAGAGTCGAGACTGCTATCGGAAGTTAATGCTCACATGAAGAAACAAGAAGAGACTGATTCCAAACGAACACAGTTGTTGGAGAAAAAATTTCGTGAGTTCGATTATGAATGATGTACAGATAATCTACAGATAATACACTTTCTACAGATAATCACTCTAATGAACAAACGGCGCTATTCGGCTATCCGGGCCCCAAAATTTTTTAGTCATGGATTTGGCTGAAACTTGGCCCAGGCGGGTTATCTGACATGCTGATCACGAGTATCACATTTTCTCCGCAGGAAAACGCCTCCCTGCGGGGTTACGGTGGGTATACGGTAAGGGGCGAAAAACACGGATTTCGCTGAAACTTGGCCTAGGGGGTTATTTGACCCGCTGATGCCAAATACCACATTGGTTTTGAACCGTAGCGTCATTTTCTCGAGTTACGGTAGCTACACGGTAACGGGTGTAAAACATAGTTCTGCCTGAAACGCGTGTACGGCGATTCGGACAATCGTGAAGCTTTGCACACCCGACCACTGCCGCGCGCTACACACCCTGCTGCGGCTTTTGCCTAAGCAAAGGACAGAGGAAAGATACATTTGCCGATTTGTAATTTTGACTCAGCATGTCAGATAACCCCCCTGGACCAAATTTCAGCCAAATCCGTGACTAAAAAATTTTGGGGGCCCGGATAGCCGAATAGCGCCGAACAAACATATATGTCACATTCAGTTATGTTCATGCACTTTGTTTCAATCGCTCTTTCGATTGTTCGTTCGATCGTTAAGCTATCATATTTGCGACGTTCATAGCACATCCTATGCCCTTGTGCATTTTTGTGACTAGCTTGTATTAAGTCGGAATAAATTAGAGTGCTAGGTTTTCGTGTTTTGCAGTATTTTTACTTTATAATATGGAAAAGACATTTTGGAAATGGGTCTGAACTAGTGCGCAGTGGGCATAGGACTATGTCAATTCTCCTTGCTATACCATCCAAATTATGCTTACGTTTGGTATACCGGTATCAATGAAGGCACTGTCCACCCTAAGTTATAGGCCGTCCACGCAGGGCGCGGAGAGTGCGCAAGGTGTGTATTGCGCCTCACTTCTCTTTCCTCGTGCACTCTCGCCGCCTGTTTTTCTCTGCGCTTCTTCCAGTCGTGAACTGCCTTCAATGTACGCAACAGCGTTGCTCTCCGTGCGCAGCGCTGACCGCCTATAGCGGTCATGAGCTTTTGGCAGTTCACAGCAGTAGGACCTTTTATCAAGCCATTGCGCAAAAGATCGCTTCGGAATAACGAAGACGTATAAGGACCCCAAGTGCCCCGCCCCCTCCAGTAATGCCCGCCCATCCGTCCGTGCCCCCAATTACCGTTCCAGACCGGCCTGCGGGTCCTGCGGAACGGAGATTGTCGGGTTTTTCACAGATTCTCGATTTCTTTCATCCTTGTCCTGCAATTCTCCAATTTTATCAAACTTTTTTGTCTCTCCCGTCTGCCTCTTCCATTTAGTACTTTTCGCATTGAAGCCATCCATTTGAAAACTTTCCAAAAGATTCTTCAAAAGATCAGTGAAGACTTACAAGGAATGCATGTTTAGTCGAAGTGGCTTTTTTAGATGGGATGTATACCATATTGTAGGACATGAAATGCTGATTCCAAATCTGCCTTCCTTATCGGCAAAAAGTTCATGGGCGAGGAGTCATGAGCGCTCATTGAAGCAAAGAATTGAATACGCAAGATGACAGAAAAGCCGTAATATTTTTTTCTAGCCTCTCAATGGAGCACTGATAATCATCAAAGCACTGTTCAAAAAATAATCTAAAATTAAGATGTTTTCCACACTTGGTTGCATAACTTGAGGGCTAGTAAGGTTGTAGCAACTCATTTTATCAAAAAGTTTTCACCTCGTCGTTGGGCGGATGGGTCATGAAACCTTGTGGGATCGGCGATAACGACTGCCCTTTGTGGGTGCCGAGATGTATTCCGATGTTGTAGAGAATGACGCAGGCCTTGACGACCTTCTGGAGCTTCGGAGGCTGAATGCGGGTGATGTTATGGAGAATGGCAAAACATCGCTTCAGCGCTCCGAACGCCTGCTCAACAACTCGTTGAGCTTTGGCGTGCTCCTGATTAAATCGCCTCTTCCTGGCGTCATCCTCTGTGGCCCTCTCCCCAAGGCCCATAACAGCCAAACTGTCTCATACACAATATCTTTAGATACCGAACAACAACTGGTGGCGGATTCACAGCCGCGGAAGAAAGTTTGCCAATGAAAATGACACGTTTCCATTCAACACTACCACGGAGTAAGAATATGGGAATCCCCCGACAAAACACCAGCCACTGTTCCATTCCGCGAAGGGGAGAGCGATGTGGCCTTAGTAAGTGGTAAAGTAGACGCTGATTCTAATGACTGTTTAACATTTGCAGAGAAGAACTCCAGCCTTCCAAAACGATGCAGAAGATGGACATCCTGAACCCCTAATGGTTAAACGGCATATTTTCCCTTAATTCACCTTCTTAATGTTTCATTAAGAAATATTAAGAAACAAACAGTGACGAAGAAACTAGCAGATTTCATGAAGGAGGAGGCAGAGGTGGGGGAGGAGGGCGAAATTATGTGCAAGGATCTGGAGGAACTAGAGGAGGAACATCTTTTGTGCGCGGAACCGAAGGAGAAGGAGATTATGGGAATGATGATGAAGAAGAAGCAGAAGAAGAAGCAATAGGAGGCGGTGGTGGAGGTGGAGAGGAGGAGCGGGCGGGTACGAGGCACTCGGTAGAGGCGGCGGCGGCGGAGGAGGAGGTGTATTAAGCAGTAGCCGATAGCGGAGGATTACAGAAAAGCTTTGATAAAAGAGTAATTTCGTCTTTGCCAGGTAAGCAGAATTTTGATTAAACCTTAATTGAGTGTAATTTCCAGGACCAAAGAAAATTCTACAGCGAAATGATACACACTTTAAATGTATTGTGTGGTTACATCAAGTCGCAAGAAAATATGCAAGACGCGGAACATCAAACGGGCAACACGGCGGGCTGGGTGGTGGACGGAGGGAACCAGCAAATCTTGTTGCAGATAAGAACATTGAAGATTTTGTCGTCTTTAGCTAATGATGAAGAGTAAAATTGCAATATTCTATGATATTTTCCCGTTTTTCTTCTTACATCCCAATTAATATGTTTCGTTACCGTAACCAAATCAGTTGTCTGATATGTATCATGATATAAAGGCATTCTTTTTACACCAGCTTTTACACTATAAGGATAAAGGGAGGGAAGGGGCGGGGGGGGGGGGGGGGGGAAACAAGACTGCGTTATATGACTATTTAGATCGTTACGATTGAAGCTTGTTACTATCGTTAAAGTGAAAAAAAATTGAAGTGAAAAAAAAGATAAATTGAATTGAATAAATGATTAAATAATAGTAATAATAAATAATTATAAAAAATTGAAGTGAGAATGACGTAGGCTTCACTGGAGGCAGTGGACCATATTCAACACTAAATGGTCCAACCGCCAAGCGATTCGCGCCCTCGCATAGAACAAGTATAGTCCCAGGCAGGCGCTGTACTCCTCAAGGAGTATAGCATGGCGACGATCGATATGAATCAAATACGTGTAAAACCGGCGATTTTTGTCGCCGATATTGGCGATCGCCAATCGCTACGACTGGCAATCGCCAATCGTAGTGATTGGCGATTGCCCGCCGCCATGCTATACTCCTCGAGGAGTATAACGCCTGCCTCAGATGCTTCATAGTCGGATGAGATATGATGCAGCTGAAAAAGCTAGAGGTTGGAAAAGAAAGATCGTTAAATCACAGCATGATGAAGCAACCCAAATAAGGATAGGCTGGAAACGTAAATAAATCCAGAGATGATAAATGGATAAGCGGTAAATACTTTGTATAAAGCATTCCTGCTGCAATTTTGGTCTGCTTTCGGTGAAGAAGAACGGAGACATGAAAATAACTGACTAATTCTTTCGCAGCACTACGTAGCATTCCAATATCCACGCTCATCCTTACAGGTAGACCTCCAAAGCATCCAAAAACACGGATGATATGGCCTTGTAGGTAGCTGTCGATCTGCCCAATCCTTTAGCCACACATGCTGCATATATCTCCGCGGATGCTACGATATCTCGAACCGATGGGTAATGCCTGAATGCTGTTAATTCACCTCAGCAAATCCAAACCAATCTCACTCGAACACATGACTATGCTTTTTGAAAAACGCAGCAATCCATTAGACCACTATGTATGAGAGAGGTCTTAGAGACTTATCAATGGGAGAGTCCAACTGAACCGTAAGACTTCTTTCAGATGGGACTGTGCTGGGCAGTGCTCCTAAATTTTGAAAGAAACTTGTGTACGTACTTAGGGATAAGCGCTCATACATACCAATACAGCCAAAAATGAATAGACATGCGTATGTATAATATGCGTATTGAAAAAATATGTTCTCGAACGCTGCTGATGATGACGATGCGATGATGACGTCAAGTTCAGAAAAAAAGACAACTTCAATCCAGTCCGGAAATCTTTGGCAAGATCTGCAATGTTTTTTTTTTCAAAGCTAAAAACAAGCCAGGAATTTGCAGTTACCTCTCTGGAAAAGCTACCTCGAATAATCGTCGGCAACATTGCGAGTTACACTTTTCTGACAAAATTGACAAAAAAGCTTCAAGAAAAATATCCGTGAACGTCAGCCACCCTTTCTCTTCGAAAAATTAAAAAACGTTTTAAAATCTACATGGCTGTGCAACAACTCACCGGACTATCGCAACAGCAATATGCAAGTCTGTATTGAAGTCCACATCAAAATTCATCTCGTTCTGGAATAGGACGAAGTCTTTTGAGGAAATAAGAAGAAAGAATATTGTTACCTCACAGATTTTCGGCGACGAAGTTTCTCACCTCTTCGTTATCGGGCGGATGGGTCATGAAACCTTGTGGGATCGGCGATAACGACTGCCCTTTGTGGGTGCCGAGGTGGATTCCGATGTTGTAGAGAATGACGCAGGCCTTGACGACCTTTTGGAGCTTCGGAGGCTGAATGCGGGTGATGTTATGGAGGATGGCGAAACGCCGCTTCAGCGCTCCGAATGCCTGCTCGACGACTCGTCGAGCTTTGGCGTGCTCCCGATTGAATCGTCTCTTCCTGGCGTCATTCTGTGTGGCCCGCTCCCGATAGGGAGCCATCACGCTCCTGGAGTTGGCGAAGCCCGCGTCTCCCAGGAGTCGATACCCTGGGCGAGCGCGGGCTTCCTCGAACTCGGCGGCAGCCTGCGAATGCTGCCATATGAACGAGTCGTGGTGCCTCCCCGCGAACCCGCAGTTGATGTACATGAAGCGGGCCCTGGCATCCACTATCGCAATCATATTGATTGCGCAACATGCCTTTCGGCAGTAATAGTGGTTGCCAAAGTGGATGGGCCGCTGGATTCGGATGAGGCATCCATCGACACATCCAATGACATCTAAAAAAATCTAGATTATGATAATCTTATTGATCAAGTTTAGGGGCTTACTTGTGAATCTCGAGATTCTGGCGATTTCTCGAGATCTCCGCAAGCACCAGGCCTCGTCCGAAGGGCAGAAGCGGAGGAAGCGGGCCTCTATTGTTGGATGGTTGAGCGCATCCACAACTCTAGCGACAACGTCGCTCACTGCCTTCTGGCACACCCCGAAACAGTCACCTATAACAGTTTGATGACTGTTGGTGGCCAGATAGCGCAGTGTGATGAGGACCTGGATTGAATATAGATTAACCTCGTTGGAAATTTTGCTGGGAAGCCCGTACCTGGTCCTCCTTACTAATTTCCCACGGCTCCAAACCACTGTCCGGCAGCAGCGGTGCGAGCATCCTTACGATCTTTTTGACATCCTCTAAACGAAACCTGTATTTCGAGTAGAAGATGCGATCGTTCTGCTCAAACACTGAGGATGGATGGAGCCGGTTGTATCGGATGTTCCTCTGACGCTGCTGTCGGACATTAAAGAGGATGGCTGCCATCTGTAAAACCTTTCCATGAATGAATGCCCGAATCATTAATGTTTCACGGCGGCAAACGAATTGAAGAAACATCAGCGTGAGTTGTGGAGTATAAACAGGTCTTTTGAATCCAATCACCCATACTGAGGCGGTGGCTCGGAAGAAATTCATTGGATCTCATATGTTGCATTGCACGTCCGCCTTTTGAACACTATACATACGCATAAGTCAAATGCTAACAAATCGGCTTCCCGTTGGTTTCGGTCACATTCTGGCTAGTTCAACATTCCGGTCACAATAAAAGAGTGAGTTATAGTTACAGTTAGGCACTGTGCAACTCTGTGATTCAGCTTGGCCTTCTCCTATCGGCGCGTCCATCCTAAACTTGGAGGGCTTCTGTATAATCACACCATCGCTATTGCGCCTTCCGAGATACACTGCGAAGTAACAGAGGAGGTGACGGGAACCTCAGGAAGTCAGGCATCCACCGAGCCACTGCCTTCAAGTGACTTCTAATGGAGCTTCCTGCATGCCGCCCCATGAGTAAGAATCTAATACTCTACAGTACTACAGTAGAGATCATAAGGGATATTGAGAATCATTAGACAAGGACCTTGAATTACAGTATAGTTCAGGCTAGGCTACTGCTCCCACTCACGACTACCACCGTTGCGCAACAAATAACTTCAGATGTACGCACCTATGCACTGTATACTTGAGCAGGGGCAAGACTTATCCGCTTAGCCACTTCAACCACTTTTTCAGTGAGATCAATGATGTGATCAGTAGTGAAGTGGATGAAGCAAGTGAACGTATAAGTCCGGACTCGCCTCATCAAGCTCAAGCACTGTGGTGACGAGGGTGGAGGACGATATGTTCCCAAAAAGCAAATTGGCATGCAGACATTTGAACATCCCACATCTTCAAATTACATGTACCCTCTGTTTCGTTGAAAAAGATGGGAATAGCGCGGCTTGGCTCCAGCGCGAACGCCAAGTTGGGCTCTGCAGCTCTTCTGCGTGCGTGCTTTCGAAACATAACATTTTCCCGCTTTAAACGTCGGAGAAGCGCTTCTCTCGCTATTTTAGCTGGAAGAATGATCAAAAAGCACTGCAAAAAAGGAAACCCGAGTCAGACCACGGTAAATTCTAATGAAACAGAGGGTAGAGCAATTATCAGCTGGTTGCGAAGGGCGGAGTCTGTTGGCAAGTCATCGTAACCTACACCTACAGTAAAAATTGCTGCAACAAGGAATTTTCACAGAAAGTTTAGTTAATGATGAGAAAAATCGTTTTTGCGATTGTTGCATGTTTTTAGATTTTTGTGACAGATGCAAAGTTCATTCCAAAAGGGTAGAGCTGCTGTTAAATTGAGTAAAGAAAGCGATAAGGATTTTCATAGACAGTTAAATTTGATTTTGAGGTTTTTATGTATAGAGGAATTCAGAAATATTATTTTGGAAAGGTAAAGTGGTCCACTTTCCATTTACAGAAAGAAAGCGCATCCAACAATGAAATTCTAGAAATTTCCTGAACATAAGATTGAAGTAAAGATTATCGGATAAGAACAAGAAAAAGTATAGAGTCGTCATCGGGAAGCAAGTTGGCATCTCTCTCGTTTGCAGTTAGACATTGCACATAAGAAAACTGAAGGCAAAATTGCAAATTCGAAAGCTACGCGGATGTAGCGTAGCTAGAGATGCTATCGAATAAATTCAAAAACTGCGGGTCATGTCAGTTTTATAATGAAGAAATATTATGAATATGAAACTCGAATTGTGAGATTGTGGATTCGTTTTGAGAAATTACCATATAGATCTTGGGTCTGTCCAAAAGTTCATCCAGTTTTTCAGACCATTGCTCGTTAGAATCAGAATAATGATAGACAACGCTCTATACAGTGTTCGATGCAGAATTGTCTCATCTTTCTAGCATTAGTGGTCTTGTTCCAAGCTTCTTGATCATCGTTCAAATATTTGTCGGAATCTATAACTCGTAGCTTTTACTTGCTCTTTTCAAAATTTTCATTTTAGACTCCTGTTTGAGCTTCGACAACATCTAGATAATGTAAAAAAACGCAATATCATAAATTGTCTGGGTTTCTTCGATCGGTTTTTCAGTATTTTTGTTAATTTTTCCGCAAGATTCGCTTCTAACAAACTGTAAGATACACAAACGCTCCAAACATTGGTAAAAGTTCGGAATTAGAAAGTCCATCCTGACAATTGAGCGTTTAGCGATTTGAAAAATAGAATACCGAATTTTTCGCGTACAACCTGTGACGCGTTTGAAAACAAGAATTGTAATGATCGTACGGTAGCTTTTACAAATCAGGAAGAAAATGATATCAAAAAGAGAAGATAAAGCTGCATCAAAGAACACCCTAATTGCTTGCTGTTTATTGTTCCAAAAAGATTGGGTTGCCCAAGTATGGAATTTTACGACACTGAAAAAATAATTTTCAAATTTTAAAAAGCTACCTTTTGATGCCTGAAAAATTTGTTGTATTGTAAATTATTTGTTCTCTCTAACTGTATAACTGTAACCAAAGGTCTTACAAAACTCTGAGAAGAAAAATCAAAAAACCGACTGAAGGTAAGTGAAAAATATGGGTTGAAGTTATGCGATCATTCGACCGCCCATCAAAGATCTTGGAAAGGGACAAACTTTGGGCCGACCTAGTATAAAGTTTTATAATTTTATGCCAAAAAATATTCTTAGTTATCACCATTCCTTGACCTTATTATAAAAGTCCTGTTGTCAGAATCTGCTTTTGTTTTAGGGTAAATTTTTCGTGAATATCAGATAGCAAAGAAATGGCTACTTACTTTCAAAAAGATGAGTGCTTGGTTTCAGCTCTATGAAGTCAGTTAAGTATCGTGAACGAATGTAAGAAAACTACTCCCGAGCTCGAGTAGCCTCGAGCTGAATGGGAGTGACGACTGGAGGGCGGAGCCTGGAACCGATAATTGAGCCTAACAGATGATTATCGATCACGATCGCAAGAGAGATACAGAGTTGATTGGCGATCGAAGCTCCTCATTCCACCCGTCACTCTCATCAAAACAAAGAATACAAAATCTCATTCTTTGGCACACATCATGTATTAGGCTGGGTAGAAAAGAATGTTGCTTTTTGGGTCTTTTCTAAATAAAATTGATATTTCTCAAGGTTTAGGGCATATCCAAGGCCAAAATTTTATAGTCAAAAACACAAGTGAGGAGCGGGATTGTTGGGGCCAAGCTTTTCATTTCCCGTTTTTGGATTTTATCTTGATTTCTGACCATCTAAAAATATTCCATGTGTGCTTATAGATAAGTGTATGTGTCTGTTACATTTAGGAGCAAGAAGGAGGTTCGTAGGTTTTTTCGAGCTAAAATCCGGTTTTTGTCAACCAGTTGCTCTTATGTTTTGGCTGCAAACCGCAGATTACGACTTTCGCGAATATTCAAAGGTCATCTCGTAGAGTTTTCTTTGCTCTTTCGAATGCTTTCAAATGATACCTCCTACATACTTTTTCGAATCCTTCCTTTTGCGTTATAACGAAAAACGACAACTTGCTTTCCAACCGATATTATACGTACAGGAGTGGAGCAGAAGTTGACGAGTACGACGTTAGCTTGTGTTTAATGTATATGTCTTTGAAAAATGTTGAAATATAATTGATTGGCAATAAAAAAGTGAGATGGACAGACACTAAGATTCAAAATGTCAAAACAATGTAGTCAAGATAGAACCCAATTAGTGCAGCATAACTGGGCCAGTAGTTAAAGAAGATCTGGAGAATCTGAGGACAGTTGAATAGTACTCTATCTAGCGATATACTTGATGTTCAGAATAGAAATTAGGACATGAGATTCGTGACAGAAATTTAGAAAAGGGTTAAGTATTAGCTTGGCATTTCAAGCGAAAATTGGGAACGTAATGTTTCAGAAATTTCGAGAAGTAGGTCTCAAAAATGTCCGTGTTCCTGAGAGTTTTTGATGTTTTAGTCTCTACAAAGCGATAGTTCTGCCATTTCTTGAAAATTTTGAAACAAGATGATAATAAATTGACTGAGGTGTGAAGATGGGCAAGAGCAAGAATTTGAAATCGAGCTAATCAAATGGTTTTTTAACAGGTAGTCTTATTTATTGAAAATCTTAGATATGAGTTGACGGAGATCGATCAACATTTTGTCATGAGCCATTAGTCTGTACATAAAGTAATAAAGATTAGAAAGAAGAACAGTCAAGGAAACGAAGAAACAAGGCTAAAGCAATCTGTTGTGAGTTTACTCAGGTGAAAAAAGTAAGGCCTAGGGCATACCTATTGAGAAGTCGCCCGCGATTCGGCAGTTAGCCCGACCTCTTCAAACCCTATGTACAGCTTTTGTGAGTCGATAAAGTGTGCTGTTTTCCGCGTGCTCAAACTGAGTTTGCGACGAATTATAAGCAACCGCAGTATTGCCAAGTCGCTTCGCGGCTAAAATCACGTGAGGTATGCCCGGGACCTAAGACAAGAATGGACAGCGCCTCTAAGGATCACAATATGAAAACAAAGAACAAACCTGCGCCCGATAAGGGCGCATTGTAGGTTGTGATCCATATGTGACGCGTTCCGACGGTGCATTACGACGAAGAGGTAAAGAGTGAGGAGCCAGAGCGGAGAGTGGCGTTCCTTAACAAAATCCAACAGGTACGACCACCTCTCTGCTACCGCAGATGTGAATGTGTGGCAAATAGGTTTTTACTTGTATACTTGCATGAACGTGGCGCTCTCAATCATATCCACATGGGTGGTGAGAATTACCAATCAATGGCTCACCTGAGGCAGAGCTGACTCGTCGAAGCCTCAACTGAAGCTTTCCTCAGTTGAGATCGAATGAGGCAGCTTTACTACGGGCCTAAGTTGCAGTTGAGTCAATACAAGATGAAGTTAGCATGATAGACAAATAGATGAATTCATAGTTCGATATAGCTAGGATGTAGACGTTACCGTAGAGGGAGCTAGATTTCCACTTAACACGCAGAATACTTGATTTATTCTGATCCATGCTTGCAATAGAACGGGCCAAGCAGCGTGTCCATGATAGCTTAAACAAAGACAGTTATACAGTTCGTTGACACCGCCTCATGTGTGATTTGCCTGAGCTTTTCGTAATGATGACGACTCCTACTCATTCTCTGCGGTTCCGACCATGCTATTCCTATGATTCCTACAATTATTGCGATCCTCTGATTCATGCGGGTCCCGCAATGTACATTGCGTAAACAGAAAACACGATGTATACTGAAGCTCGCAAAGCGCTCCGTAGTGCGGCACATCGGAAGTGAGGAATCTCAGGAAATGCAGGAATTTACAGGAATCATAGAATCACCTGGAATAGTATGGCCGGCCCCTACCTCTCTCTCATTCTCTCTCCGTCTGTTCACGCTCTCCCTCCATCTTCTAACTATTTATCTACCTCACTCTCTCTCTCTCACCGCGTTGCTTCTCATCGCCTGTGATCATCGCAAAGCTATATACAAATCAATTCCTATAAGCAAGCATTGTAAACCTTGTAAATCACTCTTTATCGAAAGCAATCTTTAAGCCCTACTGAATTTCATTAAACTTTATGAGTATCCAGACTTCCTTAGATTTCTGACTGCAAAATTATGTAATTTCTTAATGAATTTGAACATAAAATTTGCTGCACAAGTGAAGCTTCTAATATCCTTGTCAATAAGGCATGTTGTCTACGCATATGACTTCTTATTGCAATCATCTCCATCCCTGTAGTTTTGAGGATTCAAGGCCACGTGTTCGGCTAGGATCTTGTCGAAAGGGGTTTCGATATCGACTACGGTGTCGACACGCGCACGACGGCTGTGGCACACACTCCACTCCGTCCAAGAATCCATCCTGTGACGTTTATGGTAGTAGTAAGGTATAAGGCGACAAAATAATGATTCGTATTATCTGAGAACTGGCCCAAATGGGGAGCGGAACTTACATACCCCGAGAAAAATACCAGGTAGTCAGCGGGGTTCATAAGAGGTCATGAACTGGTACCAACGTTAATTTGCACCTAACTTGCGTCGGAGACGAGCTGTTTTTGCTCACGGGCTGCTCCATCATTACACAGTGCATGAAACCGCATGAAACCTAGATTATATTGAAATTTGATTTTAAAGTTCAGTAATGAAATTAATCCAGTTAGGTAAAAATTTGTATTTAGGGGTACTTTGTCATGTTATTTTTAATGTGGTGGTAGTTTTGATTGAAATCTTACTTAATCAAATCTTTCCAAGGTAATAAGACATAGGCGTAATCGGCCCCAACTTACCTTGGTACCACAAGCATCTTATTTTTCCTTTTAATAGAATTCAAACATGGTTTTATAAACTTCACTGCATATCCCATGAAAATGGTATTTAGAGTTTTTCAGTAGTTTCATCATGCTGTCTCCAGTATGCTAGTGTTTGCTCTCTTGAAAAATTTTTTTGAAATACTTTCATTATAAAGAAAAATAGAAAAAAAAGAAATTTTCATGGTTTCAAGTGAAACCACCAACATCTTAGAAGACAGCATGTCAGAAAACCTATGTTTTATTTCTACTAAAACTGCAACAAATTTATGAAAAAAATCAAATTTCAGAAACGAACAAAATTCAAGAGAAACCATTAGCCTATTCGCAAACAGCATCATGAAATCCTTGAACAGCAGTTTCGAAAGTTTTGCCGGAAAATTTGTGAAAACAGGTTTAAAGTTCAAAATGAGAAAAATTCCCGCATTATTCTGAAACAGCACGGCAGACCCGTAAATACAAATTTTTGCTTCAATTGAATTGAACTCACTACTGAATTTTGAATTCGAACTACAATAAAATCTTGGTTTCATGCACTGTAGGATGATGGTGTAGTCAACGTGAGCAAGATTAGCTCGTCTCCTACAAAAATAGGTACAAATCAGGGTTGTTGCCAGTTCATGATTTCTCATGAACTCTGCTAACTACGTGGCGGCATGCTTTCTGGGGTATGTAAGCCCTCACCCGGCCCAGATCAATCAATGTGATTATAACACAGCATAAATCCACATATTTGTTGAGATCTGGGTGATCCGTTGGTGTCTTGCTCTTGCTAATTGTTCTCAAAGTCTCTGGCGAACAACCAGAATCTTCTTTGAAACAAGAACATAATCATCCTGATGCATTCCTCAGAATGTTATTTTCTTCATACACAGCACAAATAAAAGAACGTCTTCCAATCTGAATACCGTATTTGCATCCAGCATGAAATCCTGCACGGGATTTTATCCCACTGTGTACCTATCGCAAGGATGTTTTAGAATGAAATATCAAACCTGTGATCAGTATGATCTAATAGATAAATTGGCATGGTCAAGATCCCTAGCGATGTCTGAATATTCACCTAAAGTTGTGTAAGGTGAGCTGGTAAAGATGATTTCGACATATACAGTGATGAAGAACATGCGAGTGAAACAGTGTTCGCATAAACGCATTTTTAGTTTCTGCCATTCACTGGCGGCGGAAGAAGCGACGCGTGAGCGAAAGAAAAGTTGAGATGGATAGATGATAGATAAGAGAGAGGGAGGGAGAGGCAGAAAATGAGTGGTGTAGTGTAAACATCATTGCGAAAGGCTGAGGCGAATCACGTGGCGCCACGATACTGTAGTTGTCGTTGTTTACGCTGCGACACAATGCCTGAATCAAAATACAAACGACCGGAAATAACGTAGGTTTTCCCAGGATTGGGTTCATACCCTAGCTGCCCATCGAAATCCAAGGTTTCATTCATATTCGCAAAGCACAGTTCGTGTAATACCCCTCAATTTCTGAATTCATGCAAATGTTTAAATTGCACATTAGACATTACCAAGTTGTCGGGAGTAAAAGTAATTTTCGAATCTGCTTATGCTAGTCGTGGATCGATAACAATGCCGCCGACTACGACTGGGTCGCAAAGAGCATACGGTACGCGCGGCCACGCCCCCATGTGACACCGCGGTGTCAACGAAACCTCGTATGACACCCGTCTGCTCATTCTGTGTTGACCATTCGCATTGGCTACAGCTTATTTCCCTTTCCTCCTGCTGATTAACATGCCTGTTGTCGTACTCAACGTTGGAGGCACCAAATTCGAAACTTCGCTAGAGACTCTGAGGAAGAATCCGGGCCCGCGAGACAGAAGCATGCTTGCGAGTCTGAATTATGTGGTGAGTTAGTATTCTGTGTTGGTTCTTAATAGTCTTAGATGTGCAGTTTGCAGGAAGGCGAGGAGATCTTTATTGATAGAGATCCAAGATACTTCCCATCCATATTGAATTACCTGAGAGATGGTACCGTGAATGTCGACGAAGATGAGAGTACCCTTGCTCAAATAAAGCGTGAGGCTCAGGTTGGTTCTGTTCAACTTCGAAGAAAAACTTTTTTTCCAATTTTGAAGTCCAAAGCTTTCAGAAATGACTACGTACCTAGAAACAGCATGATTGATTTATCCACTTTTTTCAGTTCTACGGACTCGAAGACCTTGCGCAGCACATCGATGGCCTGATTTCACGTGCACTACTAGCAAGCATCCCGTTTGATTTTTTGAGGAATCTCACGCCTGGTGATATCTTCGCTATTCGCAGAGATCATCTCTGATCGTAATGCATTTTATTGCTGTATACTGTTGTCCTCTATTTTTTGCAGCAATAAATGCGTCTGTTGATGGTTCTGTGTGGTTGGTGAGTTACATGAAAGTCGACCGAAGTCGTGGTATAGCGTAGAAACGTATAAAGCTAATTCAATAGTTTGAGTTAGGACCTAGTGGGTTGGCTAGAGCAGCTGCTGCTTCACAATTCGGAAACAGTGATAACGATTTTTGATCAAACCATCTTTCCTTGTTATCAGGATTCTAGTAAGAGTTCGGGATGAAATGTGAATATAGTAAGTTTCAACTCTGTTTAGGCGGAAATTGGATTGGCGGGAGTCCGCTTCGCTACAATTCGCGCCGCTTTGTAATCTGCGTCTCTTCATTCTACTCTATCTCGCTGAGCCAGTGGCGGTGCGGACGCGCTGCTCCACTTGTAATGTTTCGCCTACTCCGGATTGAAAAAGACTGTACATTCATATTGATTTTTCACGAGCTTGAAGAATGGAAGATGCATAGACAACGTAAAAATCACGGCACCGAAAGTGTGGAGGTTGTACTGTTTTGTTTCAAGCAATCAATTGCAGAAATGATTTTTGCCTACCACAAGATCGCTACTCCTTCATAAAATCATGAGATATTGTTCTCCAAATCTTGGCAACCATAATTACACAGATTGAGAAAGCATACAGCTTTGAGCTGGAACAGTTTCGAATTCTTGTGTGCTTGACTGTTTGGTAAACTTTTCAGGACTCCGCGTGGGTCATACATCTTTTGAAGTTTTGGCATGTCAGTGCTGAACTTCAAAGTTTCACGGTAGTACGTCGTAAATATTTCCCTCAATGAAAGCAAGTTCAGCATCTTTTCAGACTAGTTTTCAGAATAGTATTTACTTGTTGTTTTTTGGAGCCTCTCACAGCCCTTACTAAGCGGTGCTCGTGACAGACGAAATCATGCCTTCTGACTTTCTCCCAACCAGAATGGCAAGCCTTACGGTTAAATATGTTGGTAGTTCGATCCTCGTTCTTATCGCACTAGCGTAGAACTGTCAGCAAGCTTGTTTCGAAGTGCTGAAACTGGGCTGAAACCTACTCTCAAAGAAAAAGGGGTACTGTAGCAGCACCCTCACAGATACTCTTTTCCTCGTTCCTGGATATGAGAATGAAAAATATGGCGGACCCGACTTGCAGTTTCTTTAGTACTCAGTCTATAAGAAGTTCCCTGTTTCTCAATACCGCCGTCGAAACATCGCATCTTCACCCAGCGTGCTAAAAATCAATCGGTGTGGGCACAGTGGTCGATGTCAACATCGATGTTTCGTCACGACCAATCGCGCTGTCCGTGTTGGCTGCTATTCTTCCATTCTATATTGGACTGTTATGAGTCGTGCCTGCTTTTGAAGTTGATTTTGGATTCTAACTTTTTCGGGGGGGGGGGGACTTTTCATACGATCAGGGTGCTCGCACCTAGCCTTCGCACCTACCTCGCACCTACATCGCACCTCTCCATCCACGTAAAAAGTAAGATTCTCCACTACGCCTAGGTGAGGGGGGGGGGGGAGGGGGACTTTTCATACAAACGCTTCCCGATCACTTTGACCCTCTAGCGGTATGCTAGGGTGCTGGTAATACGACCAATTATCGATTACAATGGACTAGAATGAAACGTTTATTTTCAAAAATGCGTAAAGTAAAGAATATGTTGATTTTATCTGTTGTATAAAGCTTACTTCAAATGTTACTTCAAATAGCTAGTAAGCCAATAAATTTTGTCCGGCACTTTTTGAATTCTCTCATACCATGTAGCTGGAGTTTTAAGTTGATGACACCCAGGAAAATCGCGGCCCTTGACCGTCTTCCTCTCCAATATCCCCTATGGGAAGATTAGCACTTCCAGGTCATACTGAAGGCTCGGAGAGGCATGTGGCAATACTCAAAGCAGTTCAAAACGTTTGTAAAAGAAAAACCGAATTATGCCGACTTAAATACTAAAAAATTCGTAAGTGGAACGATCATGATGTTATTTTTCACAGCAAAACACTTTCTGAATTTACACAGCAATAAAGTTTTCATTTTATCCAAATTTGCGGTACTGCAAAAGCTAATCTAGATGTTTTGTTTTTTGGAATGGAGCCGGAGGCCCAAACCTGGCATGGTGCCAATTTTTACTGGATCTTTGCCAAAGACTATGGGGGCATTCGTATGAAAAGTTCCCCTCCCCCCCTCCTTCTACAGTATACTAGACAGGGAGGTGCGAGACTTCAGACTCAGCCGTAGGTGTTCACTCCTCGCACCTCGGAATTGCTCATCGTATGAAAAGTCACTCACCCGTGGGTGAGTGACTGTGACCCAACCTTTTCTCGAAAATGATCATTTTGAGTGCAAGAAACTGTGTTAAAATCTACAAATCCTTGGCAGTTGTATGCATGTTCAAAACTCATGGTTTTTTGGTACCCTACCTTGAGGAACCATAACTTGATTCGATCTGTGTAGGAGTAGCACAAACTCTGCTCACTATGTAGCCAGTCGGCTGAGGAGCAAAGTTAACGCGGTGCACAAAAAAGTTCTGCCGGAAGTTCAAAATCTGCTCGAATATGCAATTTGTTGAAATCTTTCGTCTGTTTGCTGTTGAAAAAACGAGGTCAAGATTAAGATCAAAATCAAAACTTGAAATATCTATCTTGAAATGTACTGGGCCTCTCTTGCTATTCATAGCGAAAGTTTAGTATCTGCATTACCTTACATTTTGCGATTTATATGGACTGCGACGACATGTTATTTATGTGAAAAATTGCAAGATTCAAAATTTTTTAACATCATAACCCTGTAAGCATTATGTAGCACGAGCCCTTGTTGAAGTCATACGTATGTTCTGAATGCTCATCAAGTTAGATCTGAAATCATGAGGTGTTGATTCAAAACCTATTCTCAAACAACTCGTATATCTTCGTGATTGAAAAGGAATGGTTCATAAGTGACAGCATCTTCATACTTTTTTCCCTGTTAAAGGCAGTGTCCAGGCAGATCTGGGGGTATGGGGTTCTCGCCTGGAAACTGATGTGGGGGTCCTGACTAACGTGCCCAAGCGACAGCGCGAATGGTTATTCGAGGCTGAGAAATCCGTCCCCAAATCCATTCGCGCCTTCGCAGTGACCGTAACCCGGAAATGACTTCGCTCACTTTAACACTGGACCGTCCTGAGTCAATCGCGAGTTACGGTCGCGGCGCAGGCGAGGATTGGGGATGTTTTTTTCAGCCCTGAGAGTCATTTGCGCTGCCGTTTGGTGTGCCTTAGCTAGGACTCCTTCATTAGTTTCCAGACATCAAGGTTTCCATGCGCTCAAATTTGCCTGGACACTGCCTTTAATACACGTACGAATGACAAGGTAGACGTAGTTTTGAAAAATCCTCCAGAACTCGCTCATCATTGAAGCACCCTATTCCGCCAAATACCGCAGCCAACATCTCATCTTCCTTCACTCAGAGTGCTAACAATCAATCGAATCGCCAGGTTGTCAACAACTCGCTGTTTCGACCAATCGCGGTGCACGTGTTGACTGCTGGTTTTCTTCGCCTTCCCTTGCGTCCATGTGTTCCGTTTACTCCGTCATCTCAACCATTTGCTTCATTTTCCTTATGCAGTGATCTGCCGATTACAAGACATTTAGGAGTTCTATTCATCTCCTAAAATTTACATTCTCACTGAAAATTGCGACACCAATACAATTAATACAATCCAAAAGTTCAAAATTTCGGGGCGTTAAGGTAGGCATACGGTATGGGGTTAAAACTCAGATCTCTCCAAAAATCTGGTGGTTATCTGGGAGAGTTATTCGACATACTGATTTTCCGGATGGAGACGCTTTCTGTATGGCGGTGGGTTTACGGTAATCTGTCAGAATCCAGATCTGGCTCCTAGCTCAGAGGGTTATTCGACATCACGAAGATCGTGATTTTTCTTGCATTTTGGGTCCATAGTTACGGTAGGCATATGGTAAAGGGTCAAAATCGTAATTTGCCTCAAACTTTATGCGAGGTGGTTATCTGATGTGCTGACGCGAACATCCGCGCATTTCGCATGATAAAGCCTTTAGGCCCAAGACGCACCTCACTCGATTCCAGGGGGGGGGGGCAGCCAACATGAACGATAGGTTGTGCCAGCCATATGCGCTGCGTAGATCAAATCTTTTTCAAATTCCATATCTACACTATGATGATATCTAGAAACTTGGAAAAAACGCTGTAAGCTTTATATGCCCAAATTCTTACTGTTCGACACCATTTTCAATCCAGTTTAGAAGATATAGCTTTGAAAAATAAGACTTCATGTGTGACATATTGACAACCGCTGGAGTACAGTATGCTTATTGCCAGCTATCGTTCATCTTGGCACACACCCGATTCCAGTCGCCACACGATCTGGCAATTTGCCAGATGTCTTCAAATTCATTACTGGTAGGCCCCATATTCACAGCACATATAACTTTCGTAGGTTGGTAAAATGCCCTATCATCCGTACTGGAGTATTGCCAAATCGCTCGCGACGAATCCGCGTGAGATATGTTTCTGGCCTTACGTGGCCTTCTGGGATCTAAATCAGCCTGAAAGGCGGAAAGTTCATACGCTGCAAGTTATAACTCCAAATAACACGTTATTGTAATAATGCTTACCCGGACCGTTTGGGCAAATTTGGGACTTCAGTCCACCTAATGTATACCCGTGTACTTCAAGAAAATGGCAATACTTTACAAAATTTACGAAAGACGTGTTCAGCGTGCTAAATACCCCCCCCCCCCTCCCCTCCCTTCCTTGGCAAAATTTCAGGACATTCTGTGATTTCGACAACCTACTTTACACCTGTCGGGGATATTCGTGATTAGCTTATGAGTAAATCCTCTCACTATGGAAGTCTTTTTAGTCGCAGTGGCCTTTCCAATGACGCATGCAACACTTTGTAGAGCTTTCAACGGTGTCTTCAAATCTGTATTTTTATCTGCCAAGCCTCTGGAGTCCGAGCTATGAGCTTCTTGTGCTTGAAAAATTGTACATGCATGGGGACCAAATTGTCCAGAATTGCTCAAATAGTCAATTGATAATTTTGAGAGCACTTCATTCAATGAATACCTTCATCTAAACAGCCATACGCAGCATTACTCTATTAAGCGCTGTAAAGACCGTAAGAATTGATTTTAGTTCTGCGTTCATCTTTCGGTTCAATAAAAAAACACTCATAACTCGGCATTCACTGGCGTTTGAAAGATAACAAAAGATTTGAAATCAGCGTTTAATACTCTTCAGAGAGATTGGTCTCATTTTGAAAGGCCGCTTCGACTAAAAAGGTTTTCTTGTCAGCAAAGTTCCATCCCTTAGAGGAGGGCCTGCTATGCCTAACGAATAAAGTTTCGTGATCAGCGAGTCCAAGAACTCCCCCCCCCCCCTTTCGAGGCGGACTTATGTGAACTTTTTTAGTCTGTGATCTTTGGGTTATATCATACTACATTTACGAGCCGTTCATCTTCCTGTGCAAGTTCGTTGCTTTGCGATGGATTGTCTGTGACTACAGCAATTTCTTTGCTTCAGATTTGATTTGCTCACGATGTTCCACCAAGTGACATTGAACGTTCGTGGCGACAAATATTACACCAATACAACGACTCTAAGAAGATGTCCAGGTGTCAACGATAGAAGTATTTTTCTGGGCATGAGACTTCCCGTAAGTCATTGCTTTCTTGATTCAACGGTTATTGAGATTATGCAACAAGTATATCACACTCTAAACTTGCAGGTTTCGGGAGAATTGTTCATCGATCGGGATCGTGAAATGTTTGGATGCATCTTCCGATATTTGCAGGACGGAAGCACTACTATCCGATACGATGAACGTCGTATTGCATTGCTACAGCAGGAGGCTGAGGTAAGATTTGTGATTTATTTACAAAACGTCATATAGTGGTGGCTAGCTGATCGAGAAACAATTACGAAAAACTGATTTAACACCATCAGTTCCGTTCCGTATGGTGAAGTTTCTTGTGGGGTTACAGCGTGGACTCGAAATAACTTCATTCGCTCACTTGCCGGAAGCTAGTAGACCACTTTCTTTTCAGTATTTTGGCCTCCATCATCTCGCTGGAAGACTTCGCACTCTCCAGCCATTCGATGGCTATCTAACCATTGTTGCGAATCGCAGCTCCATCTGACGTCGTCGTCGCGAAGGATAGGACGTGTTGCGCCATCTGACGCCGTTGATATTATGAATACCTTTTTGACACAATGCTTGTCAATAAATAATTGTCGTGCTGACGAATTCCATTCCATGAAACGAAGTTTATCTAAATTTATGCCGGTGAGCGTAACACAATTTCCATTGAGATTCCTTCTCGCAAGGAAATGGAACCTAACACATTATCAAGTCATCTGAATTAAAACTGGTTCAGTGTGCACATCATGCGCCTCATTAACCACACCACTAACAGAGGAAATAATCCATTATTTTCCTCAAAACGGTTAATACAGTTCGCTGCGAATTGGTAAATTTCATCGAAATGCAAGAAAAAACGACAGAAGCCCACTGTAAAATACCGTAATCCAGACGCTATGATTTCAGAGCTTACCCTATTTTTAACTTTTTTTCATTGTAAAAGACTTTGATACTGGAAACCGTAATCTGTGTTTTTGAGGATACACAGCGTGTACCAAAAAAGTGTGCCTACTGTTTGATTGTTAATAACTTTGTCAAGGCTCTGAGAAGGTTTAGGTACAAATGTGTAGAACTAGCTTCACTTAGAATTACGGTAAGGAGCGGATTACGACCTGTATTCATTACTGTAAGATTACGGTATGACCCGCAGTATAAGGCTCCACTGTGAGATGGGACGTTCGTAAAACGTAAAAAACTGGAAAGCTTTTGCACCTAACGCATTATGGACTGCTAATCTGTTCAGGAAAATCTGGTGTCAGATTTGAAGTTGGCGAAAATTTTGCAAATTTGCCAACTTCGTGTTTTGGGCGTGCGTAAATAAAGATAAAATATCTCATTAATAATTGTGTATCTGTCTGATTATTTGGAGCCAAACGTTGCTAATACTTATAGAATTGACCACTTTTTTTTCGAATTTGCAAGTTTTGTAAGTTTTTCATCACTCATAAACTTATGTGCTGAATTCCATGCGAATTTATGGTGTACGTTACCTTAGTATTCTAGAATCACTCATAAATTGAATGTTGTTAAGTGTTCTTTCAATCAAACATCCCAACTTCAAAAACGACATATCAAACCATACTGTGGAAGCTTTTGCACCTAACGCATTATGGACTGCTAATCATGCAACAAGGTTTCCTGCATGCTGATTTTAGTAAACAACTTTTTGCGCGGGCGTAGAGCTTTTTAAATAGTGTCATCAAATTCAGACGACAGAAACCGGCTGTAACGATATACAGTCGAGTAGATTTAGCGGTAAATATAGTGTGCTTGCGCAGAAGGTGAAATGCGGTAAAATTGGCGCGTGAAGAAATAGTTTCGACTGTGACGCCGGCCAATTGCGCGCGCAAGATACCCGCGGTACTGACGTGGCTACTTGTTCACGCGCAAATTTCACCGCATTTCACCTACTGTGCAGGCACACTATATTTACCGCTAAATCTACTCGACTGTATGTAGTATAACTTAAGAGAAAAGCGTTGCGGTAAAGTGTGAGTTTCATATTTGGAATGAGCCGACTCTGATTAACCTATTTAGAAGTTCTGCCTCTTCGGTGATGCAGAACCCTCCGCGAAGTTCCTACCATAATCCTAAAGTAATGAAGAGAGAACGATAACTCGCTTCCTGTTTTAAGTTTGAATTAGTTATTAAAAATCAAATAGTAGGCGGATTTTTTTGGGATACCCTACCTTACCATAGGATGAAACAGTAATATGTTTTAATCAGAAAACGATTGGACCTGAAGTTTTACTTCCTGACCACCATTTTCTTAGAGCTTCAAACATAAGTCGGAAAAAACGTAAGGGAGTTTCCGCAACTTGCGAGAACTTCAAACAACAAATCCGTAACTTCTCAATTCTCAATAGTGACGATAAAGAGATTTTTTTCCATGATGTTTCGTCATCATGAAAATAAAGCTAGAATCGAAGAGAATTGCTCAGTTATCTGTAGCTGCATGCCGGAAAAAGGTCTTCAAACGCTGATTCCGAATCCAAATCTGTCTTACATATCTTTCAAAAACTTTTTTTTGAAGCTATGAGGATTTGCTTCCACAGAGAAACGATTGCCGAGTTCTTGGGTAGCTTCCAGAACCATTTCTCGTATGCTCTTAAATGTCTCCTGTGGTTACAGGCGACAAGGCGTATGTTCCTCCTGCACCGCCGCCGAATTTTCAGCTGTGTCTTGAGGAACAATCGAAATCGAGGATGATTGTATCTTACCGGCACTGCCCGGCTCGAGCTAAACTGGCTCGGGTTCGTAAGTTCCGTCCTCCTACTCCTGCCATGTTTATGAGACGAGTCGTTTCTCGGTTACGGTCTCTCAGACAGTGGTTTCGCACACCGGAGCGCGTACATTGCGTCAAGTCCCTTAGCACCGCCGATTACGGTAGTTCGCTGGCAAACAACCGCAAAGGGGCAACCATGTGATGTTTGCTACCCAGTATCAAAAAGACCACCGGCTTTTTCCTACAAAATGAAATATATATACAGAGAGTTTCAGAAATCGTGCGTTTGATTTTTTACACCACCATTTTTTCATCAGCGTTGTCGTTTTCAAAAAGGATGATCCTCAGGTTTCCCTTCCCACCATGATCTCAGTATTACTAGAACCTTTCGGTTTTCGAGGATAAGACTGTAGACCTGTAGGTTCACAAATTCACGTTGCAATCCATGCATTTGCTATTCTTGGCCCAGGCCTTCTAGAATGGCACGATGGCTAGTAATGAGCATTCAGTCCAGTCTTCTTCCTTAGTTAGAAAGGAAGAAGACTGGACTGAATGCTGACTAAAAGCGTGCGCTTTCTAACTAAGGAAAAAGTATGTTAGAAGCACTAGCACCATTGTCAACAACTATTTCATTCCTACATATGTTACAAATGATACCGTCACTATAATCGTATAATGCTGATACAAAACTCCAACAATCAGATCCTCGTGCTCGCCATGATGAAACATCAAATACACATTCGCGTTCCAAAGTTAATCCTGACAGTTTTGACAGTAAAGCACAGTCAGCACGTGTGATACTTATTGCTGGTGCTAACAAGGGAATGGAGCCAGAAGTCGAGGTGGCCAGTCTAAGCATGCTGCCTACCGTTTGATGAAGCATTCTACGCTCATGTCGAATCTGTTTTCCATATCTGCTTAACGCCTTTAGTTATGAGAAGTGTTCATGAGAAATAATCATACATAAAAATTGCGAAATTTAGCATTGTTGCACCATCAGGCTCACTTTCAGGCTTTAAGAATTCAAAGTAACCTAGCTGTTGGTATAGCATTGAGACGGGGATAGCTCTGTACAGCCAAATCTGCGTTTTGCATGCACGACTTCTTAGCGAAATAACGGTATTTAAAGGCTCATAAATTCGCCCATATAGCCAAGAGCCAAGCAGGTTTGGAATACAGATTCGAATTCAGCATTCATGCTGCATCGGTATGCAGCTCAATTGGATTGGCCACTTCGATTTCTGACCAACCCCTTGTTAGGCGAAACAAGAGTCAATATGTAGTTGTTTGTCTTTCAAATCGAAATAATCTGAAAAAGGGCTTTCAAACTGTAAGTAACTGCATCAACTTAGGAGTCAGTTCTTAAGCTACAATTTCATCATCCTACTATAATAACGCGCTAAGGGTGTTTACGTTTTTTTGTGTGTGTGTGTCTGAATGTCTGTCTGTCACGAAATTCATAGCGCGAGTTCCAGCCAACGTCCTGAGCCCAAATCTTGCATAGCGCATGCTACCAGTATAAAAGTCCACCATGCGAAAGCACGAGCGGATTTGTTAAGTGGATCCCTCAGAAATTGCGCGTCAGCCGGGTCCAATTGGCTTTCGGCCCGCATATCGGATCCATATCACCACTTTTTGCAAAGTCGTGGATGTGCTTAGCATCTCAATGTTAAAGCCATGGGCTTTGCTCCAAAAAAGGGATCAAAAGCCTACTACTTTACAAAAACGACGCCGAAAAGTATTGATTGCTCGATGGTCAATTTTTCAAGATTTTACCTGATTATTTGAGGAGATTTTCGCACAGAGATGTGGCTCAGAGTGTTATTGTCCTTATAGCAAGTATCTAGCCAGAAAAAAGTTCAAGAACCTATTCAAATTTGCATTTGTTCTTCTGCGAAAAATTTCATCCTCTCAAAATTACCGTTCTCACATGGAAAAGCTTTTGGAATGAGTAGTTGTTTACATTTTATTCGTAATATTCGGCATCGTCCGGTGAGTTTCAATGCCATCACAAGGCATGAATGAGTAAGGCGTACAGAGTAGGACACAGCGAGCCTCTGCGAATCAGTGTATTTCATAGCGCAAGCTGCAGCCAATATTTCGAGCTAATTTTTTGGCTATAGCACGCCAGCAGCACCCAGGTTGATTATGTAAAGAAGTGAGCGAATCTGTTTCGGTTGAAAATCGCGAGTCAAACGGATCCACCAGGCATGTGCTAAGGCAAAAATGAGATCCTAATGCAAGGAGTCTGCAGTAACTGTGAGACTTTTAACTTGGACATCTTCTAAGCCCTGGAATTCATCGCAGATACATAGCAAGAAGTTAATTTCGAGCAAAAATGGAGTCAAAAAGAGATGACTCGACTGTTCATTTTCAAAACACTCACTGTATAGCTGGAAATATTCTAGGCTGGGAATGTAGCGTGCATCTGTTGTTGTTCTAATTAGCCAACATCGCATTGATAGAACGGATTCAAAATTACACTAACCGTTCACCAAAAAGTTTCGCCACGCTAATTTTACCGGTTTCACATGAAAACCTCGCAGAATGAATGGTTGTTTACATCATATTCTTCCCGATCAGAATTTTTCGGGGAGGTTCAAAGCAATTTGAGAGATGAGGCAGGGCGCTGTTTAGCTCTGACGACAAGCATGGACGCGCAGACCCGCACGGCACCATATTCATGGGGTGCATAGAGCCAGTACCTGCTGTGGACGTACCACACTTTGCCTTTCTTAAGAGGAGATATTGCTCAAAAACTATAGAGTAGGACC